TGGGCCGCTGCACTTTGTGCAGACGGTGCTTTCAGCTAGATGGTTAGTACGGCATGCTAAAATCCCAAAAGCAATCGCAAGTAATCGGCGTGTAACAAAAGCTATAAGTTCAAGTTAAAGACAAAAGGTGATTAAAACAGACAAAGTGACTGATGGGGAGCGTCTCAAAATGTCCGTATACTTGAGCCCCAGCGGCTCAATTTCAGGCGTCAGGCGAAGATCCTGAGTTATTGTTTGAGTCCAAACGACCTTTCTGTTTTATGAAGGCTTCCTTGGGTCATTTTTCCTCCTGTCTCAGAACTCTACTGCCCTCCAGAAGATGGTGACTGCCTGTTGTTTAAAGAAACCACCATGGGAGCCGACCACGCTGCGAACAGGTGTAATTTCATATCAATGCCTGAGAGAATATGTCATTTACTGGCTATTGTACTGCCAGTATTTCATTATGAGGATTATGCATTTTTTGTATTGGTCGGGTGATTGGGGGAATGAAAAGCTGCTCACACAGATGTGTTTTTACTAGTCCCTGAACTATGACCACTAAAACCGCTTTAAATGCCTTTGCGCTGATAAATGGAAGCTGTTGAACAAAGGCTTTCACCACAACGATGCTTATTCAGCAGCGCCGAGGACGAGAAATGGACCGGTTCCATTTTGATGTCAAGGTTTCCTTGCAGGGCGTCATTGTGCACATCTGGAATTGCAGCTGAACAATAGATTATTAAGTTAATCAAAGAAAAGCCATTAAAGACCTGTGTGTAGCACAACTGGTCGGATATGAAAACCTAAACCAAATGATTATGTTTACTCCTTTACTTCCTGTTAAATGAATCTAACTCATTCATTCTCAGCTGTGAAGATTCATGAGCATCAGGAATATTTTCTTTCACAAAATGCAAGTCCACCAATTACCTCTGAAAACCGGAACCATTTTACACTACACAAGCAGAACGAGGTGAAAATAGCTTCCAGCCACACCGATTGTCCCTCTGGGAGGTGTGAGCGCTGAGCGGCGGCCTGTTAGGACACACGTGAACCTGGAAGAACTGGAGGAAACAGAAGGTCACTTCGCTCCTGCCACGTGGGCATCGGTTTTCCAACCATTCAATCGGGACACCGACGCTTTCGTCTGATCAGGGTTTAAAAGCTTGTTGCACAGATCGAGCATGCTGCCTTCACATCGGGTCACTTGCTAAGCATGTCAGCTCGAGCTCAGTGATTCAAATCTTAAAGCTCACACTTTCCTCCCTCTGGCATCAGCAGGCTGATGATTTCATGATTGCCAAGTTAATTATGAAAATAGATAAGAGTCTGTTTTTCTTTGAGATGTCGCAGTCATTTCATTGTCCGTGTGCTTTATCACTTGAGTCATCTTCATATTCACATTATTTACCTTAGAAAAATAGTATAGTAAACTATAATTATTATATAAATAATATGTTTTGCCCCTGATATTAACTATAGATAAAATAATTATTCACAAGCTGCTGTTAACGCATAATTATATCTGTCGGGATGATGTTACATAGAGCTGTTGCGTTAAACCGTTATTGGCGATAACAATTTAACCATCGTTATTACAGTAATAATGCACACATTATGTTGTGTAAATAATGAATTGCCTCATGTTTTCAAATGATTTGCAGCAGCAGTGTCATGATTTCTTTTGTCCATGATAATCGTTAAGATCGAATGTGATCATTGGTGATAACTTTCCTAATGGATAATTGTGTAACTTTGAAAAGACCAAATAACTTTTTTAATCTGATTTTGGCTTCGGCAATTTTATCTATGAGATAAATAAAGTGGAGTCAGTGTTTTGGAGCAGAGTAAATTACAGTAATATCACTGAAGGTGATGTGCCACGTCATTTTACTTAAGTTCTGTACTTTAGTGGATGTATTTAGATATTTGCCTTTCCCTCTGTGTTCTATACAGAGACACACATTAATGAGAATGTATTGATAGAATGTGGCTGCACCTACACACACCTCACCACTGAGAATGTCAAGTGGTTTCCGTCACTATACCTCCATTAAGATTCAGCACATCTCCACTGCAAACAGCACACAAGCCAAAATACAAAATACCCTTCAGATATGAGGTGCCTTTAAGCAAAAAAAAAAGCTTTTCTTAAGCCTCCGGGCCATAATAAACGCTGGATATTGAGTTTTGGCACTTTTGACGTAAACGCGTCACTCCATTACTGACATGCAAGGACTTCCCACTGTGCCAACCGCCTGGAGCCGCGTGCACGGGAAGTGCTTCTCTTCGGCTAACTACACAAAGGCTGAGATGTGAAGTCCTTATACAGCAGGGAGAATGGGGCCTCTCTGTAATGTATTTCTCCCTGGCAAACGGTAGCATACTTGCTACGCTGTGCATCCCCAGGCTGGTGGTTTAGCTGTGAGCATCACGTCGGGGGCAGCCAGGATGTGCTCTTCAGCTTGCACACCGATTGCATCAGTTCAGATCAAAGCGTATCGATACCACAATTCGCTAAAGTGTCTCTTTATTCGTCGGACTGTTAAGCAACAAGAAGAAGCCCAAGGGCCGTGAGCTTCCAACTCACCCTTCTTCCTCCTCCTCCTAAGATGTCATGGACAGCAATTGTTTTAAACATTTACAATTCATCACAACACAAAAAAATGCTAAACTGCAGGACTTTCCACTCTACGACAGCTTGTAACTGGATTCCAAGTTGTGTTGCGCTGCTGTCTTTTGTGTCTCTTGTGTGGGGCTGAATTACCAATGAAAAACTCCCGCTGCAGGGATTTTCTTCAAAGCCCACATTGATTGATTCTCATTATCCATCAATGACAGAAGTATGTCTCAAGGTTTAAGATTCAGCTTTGTGGTTAGTGTACAATAGAGGGATGTGCGGTACCAGTCGAAGGTTTGGACACACTTTCTCATTCAACTGAATGAAAAAAATGACACATAATAACACAAAAAGTTGTGTCCTTGTGTTTTTCAATGTAAAATGTATGTGAGTTGGTACAAAGACACATGTGTGGAAAACTCCTCTTCCTCCCTTCACTCCGACCCGGCTGTGGTTGTGTCTGTGTCTAAATCATGATCATAAGGCCTTCACCAACATAACATCATGATCCACGCGAACGCTTCGCCTACAACTCAAAAAAACAACATCATGCCTACAAAAGCAACCTCACGCGTTAACATGACTGACAGTAACAGGCAGGAAAAAATGACGGGGATTTGATATTTTATAATAAAGTAGCTGATAACCAAGTGAAAGGGAGGGAATAAAACTGATCCAATTCACTCGTTTAACACCTGTGGCTTTTGCATTTATTCAAAAGTAGCCCATCCGGCATCACCTGGCGTACCTGTCGGATAACGGCCGCTTTTGACGCATCATAAATACGCTACTTTAAAGTTCGTGAGACTTGGGCATGTACACAGATGTTCACCAACACCAAGATTCAACAAATGTGTTGTTTGTCGACATAACGATGACATTTAATTCTGCCAACTGGCCTGTAAATACCACCTAACTGGCTGATTATTGAATTACATCTTCCTCTTATATTGCTAATGTGAAAAAGAAAGGATGTGACGTGGTTGAGAGGATCCAGCTTATTCTACTTGTAAATAATATGACACTATATTAGTTAGGTAATTTAGGTAATCATTCACCGCCTCCTCAGTGTGGACCAGTCCTGCCACAGCAGCTTCAAATGAATAAAAAGGGAAAATAAATAAATAAAAGCATCCTGATAAACTCGGGCCATGAAGTTGTTGTTGCCGCACAACAAATAAAGGTCAGTGATCTCACCGAATAAGATGGAATGAAACATGTTTCTCTTGTGTGAGCGTGAGACGAGTGCTGCCCAAGACGGACGACGGATGCTGCAGCCGGTCGAGGCGCCGAGGCAGCGGGCTGCAGCTGCAGGAGACTCATTACTTGTGGCAGATTTCAGAGGCGTTGCAAGGCTCCGTAGATCATTCCTCAACTTTTCAACGCACCTTGACGAAAGAAGGATTTGCACCACGTGTTACTCCTGATTGCACCTTTCTCATCTTCATGCATTAGCAGTTTGAAGAGGATGTGCCAGTGCAATTCCGGTAATGGACTTTTTTTTTTATCATGCAAAGCATGTATCTGTTCAGTGGAGGCCACTCTATATATAGTTGTACGTCCTTGTCCCACAAATCATGCAGCTTTACTGCCAAATTATGTTAAAGAGCTGCTGGACAGCGAGAAGAACCCTCTACAGCTCTCTGCCTCAGGCTGTCATTGTTTACCATATTTCTAACATCATATCTCCAAACCACTCTACCAAAGGACTCTTTGCTTTGCAAAATCACATTTGTTTCCCGAGACTTGTGGGTCTACAGGTTCCATGCATTGCATTCCAGCCACCATTGCTCTACTCACGATGGCACCGATGCTCATCAACTGTCTGGAGACTTTGTTATCATTTCATGTGGCAGAAAACAGAAGCTTAGTGATGTAAAATAACCGCACCGGCGCTACAGGCAACTTCAAACTGGATATGCTAGAAGTTTCTAAGTGCGTTTCCATCCACAGGTTTTAAAAAGTTTTTTTTTTTTAAACAGCAGAAATGGTAAAAAACCCAAAAGACCCCCACAAATAAGCATAAAACATATGCATTTTATTTATTTAAGAAATACCTATTTCTATACTGTTGTTGACTACAGGTCTTTTAATGAAATCCTCTTGGTCAGTTGTCGGTTCCATAGTGGTGAAATGGGTCCTGGTAGGAGACGTAGCGCCACCTAGCGCTTACCTCGACGAAACATCTTCTTTGCCACAAGTTTTCTAAAATTCGCCCCACAAAACTGCGCTAAATCAGGGAGTTAAACAATAACTAATGAGCGTCTTCTTACTTCCTGAACCACGTTAACCCGCCAGCAGCGGCACGACTGCGGCGCGTCCTGCAGAAGTGGCGCAGAGCTGCGGCGGGGCGCAGCGGCTGGAGGAGAGGGCGGAGGAGAGGGTGAAGGAGAGGGTGGAGGAGAGGCGGAGGATTGGCTCATTCCAACATGCGCACGGAGAGGAGCGCAGTCCGATGGAGCAGCGGCGGTTCCTCTCACACTAATGAACGCACGCACGCACTTTAACGTGACACCGAGGAGCTTTTAGGAGGAAAACTCCATCCATCTGACAGACGCGATGGACGCGTCGCCGCTGCTCTTCATGCTGCTGCTGACCAAAGTAAGGAAGCTGGCGTTTGATTTCACTGCGTCTTTTATTAAAAAAAAGGGCTTTTTTTGTGGTGGAGAGTCAGCTAAAGTGAAGGGCTTCTAGTTTTATAAAACCTCATCCTGCACCTTTCTTACAGACAGATGTTCGGAAATCATGATTGTGCTTGTTTAGGATTTTTGTTTTGTGTGGCTTTATCTATCTATCTATATTTTGCAGTAATGTAAAAAGTGTTTAGCCACCTTGTATTTATATTTGATATATTATATATAATTTTGTGTCTGATTTGAGCTCCTCTTACATGTTGTCCTTACCTGTTTGTTCACTGGTAAACTAAGATCTCAGTTTGAATGAAATCACATAGTGATGGTTTAATCAGATGATCTCATAAATAACTTACCTCTTGAAGCCACAGCAATTTAATGGAAACCCAATCTCAATTTTCCAGTTTGTCGGTTTAAATTATTTGAGGGAAATGCTTTGAGCATCAGCGCCGTGGTGTTTCTGCAGGGAACTTTTGTGTGCACATGACGGTGCACACTTACGTGGATCTTAGGATTTAAATAAACATTTATTGCATTTAAAGTAAAGAACTCTTGAAGCACGGTAGGAAACCTGTTTGCCTTCGCTACTTTGCTCAGGGATTTATTTATTATATATATTTTTTCATTTGGCTTGTAACAAGACAAGGGTCTTTGTTTTAAAATCTCCATTACAGTAAGAAATGTCACACGTCCTCTGCTGGTGTTCCTCCTGCTCACAACTCCTGACGTCTGCTTCTCTCTGACATCTGTCAGTGAGATTTGAGTGATCAAGAATGACAAATGCTGTTTGGCACAATTTCAATGACGGTTGTGACACCGATTGTGTGGATTTGAGTCATTCTTCACTCAGCTTGGCTTCTTTCGAAGGCCTCCAGTGAAGCTCCTACCAGGCAGAAGACACTGTGAACACGTTACCCTGCCATGCGTGGCCACGCACAGACACCAACATCATTTTTGATTTTCCTGTCAGCCCCGACTCGTGTTTTTTTTTATTTGATCGTTATCGTCTGCTCAAACAAAGCAAGACTGGCAGCCAATTTGAAATGACAGCGATCACTAAAGATCTGGAGCGACGAGCCTGACGGCCCCCATGATGGGCCCCCGTGCTAACAAACCATCAAAGCTGCCAGGTATTTATGCGATGTCTCACTGTAAGTGTCCCCCCGGAGCTTTTCAGAGGCGCACTCATCACCAGCGTAGTTTCATTCATCGTCCACTTCAGCAAAACTCAGGGACGTCCAAATTATTGATTTAATCACGACATCTCCAACTGGCAGGTACTTCATACATTACTCATTAGCGCGTCAAGAATAAATGACAAGGGCAGGACCTTCTCCCTGTCTGTTGTATCTTCATACAAGAGGAAACGGGATTATTTTGTTATCATTGCTCCGCCTCTTGGTGTGCTCTGGCTCTATTCACAATATGCAGGCTTAGAATATATGAGCTAATAAACTATGTCCATGAAGAGAGCTTGATCCAGCGGTCCGAGAACACATTCCAGTATCATGTCTATTCCCCCCCGATGAAGGACCTTGTTCCAGTTCTTCTACTGTTTATGCAGCATTTACGTTTCCCAAAAGCCAGGAGAAACATCAACAATGTCCCGCTTTCATATTAAACCAAACGGTAAATCTGGGTTGTTAGCAGGACTTTGGAGAAGTTTTCATTTTAAAATGTCTTAGTTTAAGTGTTTCACAGAAAACACCAGCAGCATGAGGAGGATTTTTTTTTATTTACAGCAGACGTTTTGTTCGTCATAGGAAAAAAGAACAGGTGCATTTTCAATGGCGCCGTTACGTTTAAGTGGGAGAGTGAGTCAGCACGTAAAACGAAGGCGGAAGCCATCGCTAGTTTTATTTTGACACCTCTGCTTTTCCCTGCGCCGCACTTCCTAACTTTGATTTTGGCAAACAGGTTATCAAACCAACATTCACGGTGTGAACGATGCTCGAGTTCTGCTGTATAATACAGTTCCCTTGTCTCAAAGTCAATGTTGTTTTATGTTTTTGGTCAGAAGCCTAAAATAAGGACAAACGCTTAAAGATTAATTTAGAGCCACACAGACTAAAGTCCGTCTTTAGTGTACATGTGGTTTACTTTGTTTATAGTCTAACGTTAGAGTTTTACAGAGTGGCCCACACTTCCTCTATTACAGCCGTTAAACAGCATGACTTGTAAGTCAAAAATATACAAAGGGTTAGAGATTAATGATCCCAAAACTTGACCATGATACATGGACCTTCTACAACCTCGAGATTAGATAATCATTCAGGACCCTCCTTGCCTCCTTCCTTTAAAGGGAAAATTCTTGCACAAATTTGCCATCCATCAAATTACCAAAATAAACTGAAGCTCGTGAGGGACATGGATCTTTAAAAATAATCATAATAATGATCATATCTTTTTGTTTTTTGATAATAAATATATTTTATTACTAGCTCTCCCTCTGAGGGTCTCTTACACTTAAATCCTCTGCGGAGTGCTGCGTCGTTGCGCTGCCCGCTAATCAATTTCATGCTCATGAAAGAACAAGGGTACCAAAGGGGGGTCCGACCAACATTAGATCCTCTCCTGCGTCCGCGTTGCCCGTGCACGGATGATGCCAGGAGGCCCGATCTCCCGCCTCCCGGCCTGTGCTGCCGCTGTTATTTGGGGGATATGTTGGATTCTCTGCTGTAATCGCTTTGCGGGCAGAGACTCCTGTGAGCAAAGCTCTGTGGGTTGTGATAGTGTCAAGACGACCTGGTCCGCGGGGAGAGAGTGAGTGAGCGAGCGAGCGAGGCTCTGAAATGTTGTGTTGAGAAGTGATAACACGGAGGTGTGACATAGCATTTTGTTGTTCACCTCCAGGTAACTTTTGCCTTTGATGAAATGCTGTAACGCTTACAGGCAAACAGCTCATTCGGTTGTGGAGTTAATGCAAATCAGCTATGGCGGTATTTCTGCCTTAAATCTGCCTTACGTCATTTCAACTGCACAATTCCTACCTTTGTATATTTTTAAAATGTGCTTATATTAAAAACAAAAAGATTATACGAATATCCGGGTCAACAACTGGACACAAGACGTCTCATACTTATTATTATTAGCCATTTTCTGCTTGTGCACCAGATGCAGTTGGACTCTTCCTCCCCCTCCAACTGTGACTCCGTCTCCCTAATCAGCCGGACCTTCCCCACGCACCCGCTTTCCATCTTCCCTAATCAGCCCCGCTGTACATGTACACAAACAAAACCTCATAAAGTAAACAGAATATTCCCGTTGCCATGCACACATTTATGCACATTGTTAACACGCTCGTGTGATATTGTGTGTCTTGTAAAAATCCTCTTTTCCCTTCGACCTGTCTGTTTGCTCTTAAATATTCCTGCACATCAATCTATCACAGAGTACAACAGGCTTGCCCGATAGCGCCCCCGTCCCGTGTTGTAAATGATGAACCGAGCTTTCTTCTGGGTTTCCTCGGCCTCATTACTTTGAGTGAATACGCCGCTATTCATATGCGCGACAATGCTGTGAGAGACAATGAGTCTTTTTTGTTGTTGTTAATGACCGTGTGTTTGTGTTATCCGGGGGCGAGCAGTGTGCCGCGCACGGCTGTTTACACCAGTGTCAGCCGTACTTAGAGCTCAGCCCCGCACTAAACGGGGCATTTGTGGATGACTGATGAGGATTATTTCATGTTTGACAGCTGCACCTTGGGTGGTGGCGGCTGGTAAACCAGACAGATAAAACCTTCTACAAGGACCAATTAGCAGAGACACAAACTGTATTAATTGACGCGCCTTTTTCGCTGCGTCGGTCTTCTCTTCTTTGACCTTTGCTGCCTCTTCTATTTGCAGGGAGAAGCTCCTTCTTGGGAGTTTGTGAATTCTCTCTCTCTCTCGTCATCTCCACTGACCTTCTCGAGCTCCTCGCCGCTCGTCTTACACATTTTCATTGACCCACTGGCTTTCCGCCAGCGGCTGTCAGCCCGCATTTTTCCGCCTTTTGTTGACACAGATGAACAATCGCAGTAGATTACTCAGTGGCTGCCTTCTCCACTTCCTAATCCATTTGCATGATAGCATCTATTTGCCGGGCAAGAGGGATTTCTGACATAGAGAACATTTCTGTTTATTATTAGCAGAGGGTTCTCTGTAATAGAAAAAACATGCCGTGAAGGGCCACCGCTGCAGGAATGTGCTAAAGGGAAATGCTGAATAAAATATTTACTGGCACGTATTCACCGGGATGAAAGACTCACGGACAAAAAGGAATTCTCTGCAAATGAATCCTCTGCACCTAAAAGGAACTCTCCGCACCTAATTTCAGCGTGAGCGAAGCACGCTGGATCCTTGACACCTACAAGTGCTTCCTGCCTCTTCCACAGGGGCTGTCGGTGCAGATGTGCGACGTGGTAAACGAGATCGAGCTGGAGCGAGAGCGCTGTGAGGAAAACTCTCTCGGGAACGTCTCTTCAGGTAATTCTGAAAAATGCCATTTTCCTCCCGTCCGTTACGAGTGTTTTAGGCCCTTTTAGAGGAAACAAGGGGTGTGGCGGTTAACGGATGAAGCTCTATTATAGCTGGCAGAAATTCTGCTGCTGACTTTGCCGCAGAGGTTCATTACAACACGTCTTAGTTTAATGTAATGAAGCCGCTCAGTTAAGGTTGAACGATGCCGCTTCCCAATTCTCTTTTTCCTTTTTCTCAGGAGTGTGTGGACGTAACTTTTTCTGTCTGGCATCTCCCAAACTTCTTAATTCAGTCAGCAACGTATACAACCCCAAATCACTCACTTTCCCACTCTTACACTTACAAAAATATTTGAGGCAAAGATACTGCGTGTGGTCGTGGGACTACAACGTTTACGTTGACCAAAGCGCGGTGGGAGCCGCACTCAGAAGTAAAAGCTTGATTATCTCCCAAACTGCCATCAAAGCAGACTAATGAGGGCTATCAATCATTTGTCATTGGGCACAGACGCTTTGGAGTCATCGCACTTTTTCATCCTCTGTTGACAAGCGTAATGTCTCCCAGATCTGACGCTCACATCTATAAAGAGTAGAGCATTGCATTGTGGGTCTGAATGGAGGTCTAATCAGCCACAGTAATTAAAGACACCCGTGTGAGTGTGCAGAGCCATTAAAGCCGGTGAGTGATGGACGTGACATCATGCGCTTAAGGCATTGAAACAACCTTGAAGGGAGTTATGGTTGGATTATATTTAGGTCACGACATCATTGTCGGTCATGAATATAAAATGAGAGTAGGAAATTCAAAACACTTCATCAGAAATACACATTTAACCCCACCTTATTCAAAATTCACACAGCAAACTGCCCTTTCGATAGTGAGTAAACATTGTAAACGGTCCACGCAGAGTAATCGACCTCTGCTCTGAATAAACACGCCTCCATGGGCTCGTTTGCTGCTGTACATACCGCAGAGCGCATTGGGGGAATATGCACAAACAATGTTCTCCCTTATCTCTGCAGTGACGATCATCTTTCTTTTTCCTATCTGCTTCCTCAACAGGAAGGCAGCTCTCACAGGTCCCGTCCCTAACAAATGAATTAGCAGTGTGTGCATTCACGGGGAACCATACATTCACACAGTATGCGCCATTCTGAATAAAAAGATCAGCTCCTGCAATTCCTTTGCGTCCTTGAAACAGAACAGGCATAGAAATGTCCCGTGTCTGTGTCCTCTTGAGAGTTTATGTAGTTGGGTGTTCAGTGTTAATGTATACACACACTCACACACACACACACACACACACACACACACACACACACACACACACACACACACACACACACACACACACACACACACGGATCATTGTGCACAACTAAAGAAAAAGCTCTCTGACAGAAATCATTTTAGACTTTGTTTCAGCCTCATAAATTGTCTCAGAAATGGTTCGTCGCTCGTGTTTTTGTTATTTCAAAGGCATCGTCTTATGAGCGCTGCCAGAGGAGACAACACAAGCAGCGATAGAGACGGCACAGGTTTCCCTTCGTAGCTAATCGCTCGTGGAAAAGGATGGAGATACACAATGCGTTTCTTTGTCTTGATGCCGTGTCTCCTCCTGGCAGGTTGCCCGGGCATGTGGGATATCATCGCCTGTTGGCCTGCAGCCACAGTTGGAGAGGTCGTCACGATAACTTGCCCCACTTACTTCAGTTACTTCAGCGACGAGCACAAAGGTAAACACCACTTCCTCTTCTCCATGTAAATACGACCTGTATGCAAACACGACTTCCTCTTCTTCATGCAACATCTCTGCCATCTGTTTCTACCATTGTTAATCAAAACTGAGTTCATGCTACGTAGTAAAATGATTACATTTAAGGATGCAAATGACAATGTTCCCAATGTAAATTAGTTGAGTCATTTCTTTGGAGTTTAATAATCTTTTAGGTGCCAAAACTCAACCATGCTGTCCACTTTGTTGTTGTTGTTGTTGTTGTTATTAGCTATGGGCTGCTCAGAACATTTATATAGTTTCGTTTATCTCTGTTATTTGATAGGAAGTGTATTGTCATACAGTCGAGCCTTTGGGTAAATACTGGCTCAAGATTTAATATGTCGCTTTCTTGCAAATTATCATTTGCATTTTTAAGTCGTCAAACCGGTGGCTTTTCCATCACCTCCTCATCCGAAGATTATTAAATACTCTGCAGAAAGCCCAAAGCAAACTATATTAATTTATGAGCCTCTTAAAGTGCATCTTGTGTTGGTATTTACGAGAATACTTTAACTCTAATGGTGAGAATAATAGAATCCTACTCCTCTCTGCCAGTGCGCCTCATTGTCACTGTTCTGTTCAAAACAATAAATATTTCTGCTTATTTTTGTATGTAGTGTTTACTTGTGCCAGATTTAAAAATGTGAATGTAAAATACAAAGTAGGAATCCGGCTCATCCTGAAATAATTATTTTGAGAAACAAGCACAGGAAGCGAGATGACTCACTAACCAAAGACGAAAAAGAGAGACGCGTGTTGAATCACCTTCGGTCTACCAAGACAACCTTCCCCTTCCGCTGTCTGCTCTGCATTAACTGAGTTTATATTCCTCCTGCCCCCGTTTTAGCTTTCTGAGAATGTTTTAATTAAATATTTGGCCTTTCCTCCGATCGCCTTACTTTCTTTGAAAAGCTCTTCATTGTTTCTTCCTCCCGACAACAACTCCGCCTGCAATTTTTCAAGGTTGCAAATTGCGCGCGTGAAACACCTGCATTATTAAACCGTTTGGTCTCTAAGCAACCGGATCCAACAAACAGGGACTCGGTGTCGCACAGCAGCCGCTTTTCTGGACTGTGGAGCCTTTGTGAATAAAAGAAAGTGACGCCGACGTTGCCGCCATCAACCTGTGGACGTTAGTGGAGATATGTGCTCCTTTCCTTCTGGCCATTCCTGTGTATAATTGGAGATTTCTTTTTTCTGCATCTCAACATCATTTTAGGGCTGAGAAGGAGGCAGAAAATTTCATCTGTGTGTTTTGTTGTCTCTCTGGTGATTTCCTGTATGTTATTCGGATGTTTTTAGAGACCTATTTGCCACCTCCCATGATACAGCTGACATTTTATGCTGCAATTTGCCCGGCGAGACCTCTCAGCCCCGCCATCATCAGACACCTGCTGTTTCACTGATTACCCAATTTCAAGGTGTGACCATATTTACAATCTTGTGTCTTCTGCTATTTGGAAAACCCTCCATTTTACGTCATCTTTTATTCTCCATCTTTGGAGTTCGGAACTGGTCATTGCCTATATATATATATATATTCTATATTCTATATTATTATTCTTCTGTTCTGAAATAGTGAAACTTTTTCATGCAAATTTTTCATGCAAATTAAGTTTTACAAAAAATAGACTATTCAAAACTTTTAATAAGGCGGAAACTGCAACAACTGCAACAACAGCAAAAGTTTAATACTTGCGCCGACTGACTGCCAACTCCAACTTGAATCTCGGTTGTTGAATTTAAAACACGTCACATCACAGAGGACTGCGGCGCAGATCTGAATGAAGCCTGTGACGCTGCCCGACCCAAACCTCTTCTTACAATCCCCTTTCTCTCCTTATAAACAGGCAGTTTCAGGTCTCAGCTCATGAATATCAATTTCTTCTTTTCAACTCCTCTGGAATATTCAGCTCTTGACGTGCTCCAGGTGTGCCTCTACCTTTATGACCCAGTGCTCATTTGCCCCCCCCCCGAAGGAGAGATGGGCAATTCATAACTGAAGGGGCTTTTACCTCACAGATGCCGTCTCACCGGCCAATATGCACTGCACACAAGCTTCAGACTCTTTAATCTCTGAATAGAATGTCATAATTTCCCTCTCTGTGTATTTTTGTATCCCAGAACCTCCCTGAACCTGAGGTATTGAAATATGGTCTTTCTCTCCCCTGAGTCTACTGCGCACGCTTAGGTGGGAATTTTGGCTCCCTTCTGGGAGCGTTTCCGCACTCAAACACACACGCACACGCACACACACACACACACACACACACACACACACACACACACACACACACACACACACATTAGCATCTCAGAGAGTCAAACCGAAAATTGGCAAACCGAGGAAATGTGACATTTCACAAATGCAGGATCTACTTTGAGCCCAAACGTGCCCTGATGGCAGCATGAAGACGTTTGGAGCTGATGGGCTTTGAATGAAATTGCGAGATGATGATAGTACACCACTCTGGGTTTGGGTTTTTGGTCAACTGCCCTGTGATTGCGATTTCAATTACATATATGGACACATGGAAGGATCAAATACACGTTTTCTACTATGATGTTATGTGAGTATATCTTGTTTTAAAAATAAATAAAATTGAAAGCCATAAAAGCTCCAAAACATTGTGCTGAACAACTCTGTTGTTTTGGTAATCTCTTGTCTAATTCCTCTTAGCTTGCAAATGGCATAAAGGTTAGACCTTTACTTTTCATTGAGGCAAAACTGAATAGATGGACGACAACTGACCCGTCTGTCACACTCACATCGTCTACTAAAATGATGTGTACTCGCGGTTTGCTTATTTTGCATCTTTGATTTTGCGTTGTGGTGGTAAATAATTGTCTGGGCAGAACATTTACATCTACAGTGCATCCTCTGATTACCAAAACACTTGTCAGTCGCCACTAAGGAAATTAAGTTTCCCACATAACACCCCGTCCACTTTCTCATCAAAATTCATAAGAAAGAATTCCCACCCAGGTAAATCTTCCCTTTCATTCAAGCAGTCGACACATTATTCAAGAGCTTTTCCCCTTTGAGCCCTGATCCTTTTTTTGCGTCTCAGATTTAATTCATGGACTTTTTGAATCTACATTGTGACTGAGGTGACTAACAGTTACAGTTTTACCTTTATTTGTTCCGGACTTTTAAATCAAAAATTCTACAAATGTGTATTTACATGTTGTGCTTTTGATTATACAAGGATAAGATGCACAACATGACATAGAGGAAGCATACATTTTCATGTTGTTCAGCATAAGAAAAATCCCAAATTGGATATTGTTTTGCCATTTTTCTTCTGAAGTTTAATTTAATTTAGAGTTGGACTTCCCAGCTCGGCAGACTTCACAGCAATTAAATCTTTTGTTGTGAGAGCAGAATGCGGCTGCGGGTGTCATACGCTTTGAATCCACGGTCACAGTCTAGAAAAGTGTCTTTGTGTTGATTACAATGCTAAAAAGTGCGTCATAGAATCTCAATAAAGGGGACAAAGTGAAGGTTTGATTAACTCGTGAAAAGGCGGCGTGACTAAAAAGGATCATATGCATGCAAATACTGCAGGATTTCGCAATCAGACTTGAGGCAAATATAATGAAACGGAAAACCACTCGGCATGAAGTCTTCTGCAGAGACAAACAGACACAGGCTGAAGTCTTTTGTACTCCTAGATTAACTGCTAGATTAACTGCCTCGTTCGTTCTCTTGTACCTTCCTGCTAACCTTCTGAATCTCAATCCCTTCTCAAACTTTGGCTCAATTGTCTGATGAGACATTTCCAGCTTAAGAGGGAACAAGTCGGACTGATATGGCGTCCGTTTAGGTCGTCATCTGTAAAAGACCATAATATTTTACGGTACCACAAGAGTATCCCCAAAAGATTCTAACTCTAAAATATTTCGAGCCATGTCAGCAAGGTCCAGACTAAAATATCTCAAGTACATGATTGCCGTGAAATTTGTACAGATGTTCCTTACACTGAGTGCTCGTCAGATGTTTCCTCTAGTTGCGTGGTTTATCATTCCGGTAAATGGGGGAAATAACGCTCTGCCTTGTTAGTGTTTCTGTAGACGGATTACAATTGTGTAGCACACAATGCAGCAAAAATAGAAGAAATGAGAAGCAGAGCTCAATGCTGCGTGAGGTGGCGGCCATTGTTAGACGTGTACTATACATCCAAACTTGAGAATAATATTTTTCTGCCATTGTTAGAATGCTGCACCTTTTTGCTACATTTAACTTATGTTTATGATTTGTTTTGTGGAGAAAAATGAAAAACATTTAATCTTCCTCAGACCACATTGGGAAATGTTTCGGTTGAAAAATGTTACTTCGAACCAATGGGATCAAAATTGTTATTTATGTTAAATGTACATTGCTAGTTTCAAAAGGCAAGATGAAGACAATGGCGTGACCCAGTCTTCTTACATACACCCTGTCTGCACATGAAAACAAAGCAATACTTTGTTGAGGATTGTCATGACGCTGTGAGTCTGTCACAATATTGTGTCTTGGCCTTGAGTTGAGGAGAAGTCATTCCTCCAGCAATAAACCGGTCGAATAGACTGAAGCTTTACGACCAGACTACAAGTTATGACCTCTGCGGGGGGAACTCGTTCCTTTCTATAGGGCCAGGACCTGATGTTGTGCACCAAGCCTACACATCCGTGAGAGTGGTTAATTAACAAAGGAATGAATGGAGGACACAAAAAAAAGAGGACAAGACGTCATCGCAGCGTGACACTGGAACAAAACCCATGCAGCCAACATAGAAAACACGACATTTCAGTCCTCTCCCTGATGGAGCGGCACTCCTACACTGCAATCTTCCTGCTGCTTCCCTCCACATCTCATCGCCCGCTTACATTTAAACATAATTGTCCACGTTCACACAGAGCCACTTATCGGTCGGTCGCGTTGTGGTTGAGGTCTCTTTGGTTAAGCTGTTAACATGAAACCCTGGTGCTCCTCGAATAATGAATAAACCATTAATAAAACCCATGAATAAACCAAATGACAGACCATCTCTAGTGCTCTTCTCTCAGATTAGTACACCTGTAATTAAGTTTAAAAAAAGAAAGAAGGTTTGTAATGCAAAGGGGAGAAATGAGGACCTCGGTGTTCTAATGCATCAGCAATCACAATTCTTCCTTGAATTTTAGTTACAGACAGTTGACGTGACTACAGAGGCTTTAAGCGATCTACAAAATAAGCAAAAGAAAAACTGACAACAGAGCAACAAAAAATAAATATAGAGCACATTCCAAGGATGGTCACAATTGCGGTGATAAATGATAATTATTGAAACAAATACAGAAATGTGAAGCACATTACATCACCAGCAGAGAGGTCAAAGATCTAAGTGCAGAACAATGTTGAGATCTATAGAGGAAATATTAAAAAGAAAAACTACCCCATATAGTCAGAAGGAAATGGAAGAAACCGCTGAAGTAGTCCTGGTTATACGTGCCGCCCTGCAGGCACGGATAATGCACGAGTCAGTAATGGCTCACATTAGCGGCAGAGACTCACCCGGCGGTTTCAGGTTTGGTCGTGTTTTTTTTTTTTTTTTCTGCGGTGACCCAAAAACTCCGTACACGAGGTCACTGACAATGTCACAGTACGTCTCACAGCAGCACATGGAGTGTTGGAACAATTCCAAACAAAGTTGGAGAGCAGGTAAAGAGGCAATTTTGCCGTCTGGGTGGCTGTGACCTCTCTGTGTCGTCTCCATCTCCATCTCTAGGCAACCTCTCCAAAACCTGCACGGCGGACGGCTGGACGCAGATGCATCCCATTGACATCGCCGTGAACTGCGGGTACAATCTCAACAGCACCAGCGACGATGTGAGTAAAACACACGGCGGTGCAGGTACTCGATGGGCCCGTCGTGAATCAACAGTGAGAAACCAACTCGGTGTAGGAGAAACTGAGTCAGAACCTCCTGTGTTTAAGACACCCAAATAAAATTAGGGTTTTATTTAAGGAATTTATCGTAGGAAATAAGCTCGTTGCGTTATTGTCAATTGTTAGATCAAAAGATCAATGTCACTCTTTTTGTGTGTTTAATCAGCCTCGATTAGCACTAAAACAGCAAGCGAGGCTCTTTTCAAAGCCCCATAATAGGATTACCACAAACTGTAAAGGTTCATTCTTTCAATTTGGACGCCTTCGCTTCCAGTCTTTTTGATTGACGTGAGCAAGCAGTTGCCTGCGCACACATCCAGTAGATGTTATATGTTTTCACCTTACGCTTCTGTGCAGGTCCAGCATTCATTCTCCACACGGACTCCTGAGGGAACTATTTGTCTCTCCAGCTGCTAAATGCTCCTCTGTGTTCAGCAATTAGTCGCTAACTGTGTCTGTCTGGCCTGAAAGACCCTGCAGGAGAACTGCTCATATTGCATTACATATCTCCTCCTGCCGGTCCAACTATTGATTACAGCTACATACACACACATACAAGAACCCTATTGCCAAAACAGCTCTTAAATTAAGAAAGCGTCCTAAAACTATTCTGGCAGTGTTTAAAGTGAATATCCCAATAAGTGTTCACCGATGAGGCCGAGTCAGCTCATAATTCCTGCCTCTGTTATTTGCATTGGGGGGAGAGAACAAATAGATTTAGCTTGTTTTTGGTGCAGAGAGAGAGAGAGCTGATCTCGTCCGTGTCGATGGAGCAGCAGGGTGAAGAGTGGATGTGAACTACAGGTGGTAAAAGCTTTCTGGGTGGGCGCTCTGCTCCCCGACCTCATTAGGAGGGAGTCCGCTGGGGAAGCACACTAAAAGGGATTTGATGTCCGTCTTCCTGCATACTTGGTAGCTCAGTGGGCCACAGGATGCGGCGCTGTTAGGTGTTGACCCCTCAAGGATATCACATGGTCTTTGTCACCGTGTAGAACTTTTTCATCATTTGTGTACAAAACCGTGACGTGTGTTTTTTTTCTTTCAGGGAAAGTTTTTCTGGCAAGTGAAGATTGGCTACACTATTGGCTACAGTGTTTCCCTCATCTCTCTCACCACAGCCATTGTGATCCTCTGCATCTTCCGGTACGTACAAATACAGCAAGGCATTACAAGGGAAGGTAGTAAAACTGTTGACAGCATTTTTCTTTTTTGCTTATTTAATAATAAATGACGTACAGACAACTGTCGAGAAAGCTTTAAAACAAGATGGTTGCAATGCAACGTCTTCAGGTTGAAGTGCATCTTTATATGTGACGTGTAAGTCACATCAAATCAAAATGTAAGTTCATCATGTCTGCGTTCTGATTTCAGCGACTTTTAATTGGAATGTTGGGTTGAAAATGCAATGTAAGTCACTTTGGACAAAAGCGTAACTGAGAATGTATTTAATGTAAAACACAAACCGCGGCAGCAGTAATGGTTTTAAAATGCCATCCACCTCCGGAGATCTGAAATAAAAAAGAAAACCTAAACGGTTTTGTTTGCACTATTGACCTTCCTAATTCCCGACAGACAAACCTCTTTACTTGCCTCAACTGGTCGCCAGAAGGAAGAAAGAACAAAAACAGCCAGCGCTGCAGGACCCCGTAGAGAACATTAGTATTATCAATTCACGATAAACCGTGATGACATTGAGGCTTCGCCTGCTGGGCATATTGTCCACATCCTCGACACGTAATCCATTTAAATGTGGCAACATCAGACCCACTGAACTCAGACTGGGATTTGATCAGTGCAGCTCCGATATTTATGTTAAACTGAAAGGGAAACAGAAAAAAAAAACACTTCTTAACCTGTTTATACTTTTAATGCATTTCGGTCTCTCCATCTTTTGAAGGCAAGTGTCTGGGAGGTTAACGCGGATGAGAGAGACTGACGTTTGATTATGATTATTTCACAAGTCAGGGATTGATCTTAAGCTTCTCGGGGACCAGTCACTGTTTTGATGTCAGGGATTACTGAGATCTTTGGATGCCAAAACCTGAACCTTAATGTAAACATTGTATGATGTATAAGCTGATTATCCTCGTTGTATATAACTTCTGTACCTCAGATTCAAGCTTTGGACACCCAAGAAAAACTAATCTAATAGTTGATTGGTTGTCTTCATTGGAACGCATATTTATGCTTTTGTGCTGCATTTCAGCTGCAAAAATCCCCCAAACTACACTTTAGCTTGTTAGATGAGTCATCCTCCATGATCACTTCACCTCCTCCAACACCGGCCAAAGTAATGTGATGCAAAAGGTATTTTCATTCTCACATCCAGCCAGCCACTCTCCACCATATTCCCCCTTTCCCTTCTTTACAGAGAGGGAGTGAAACAGGAAATTGCATTTTTTGTAGAGGTTCTCCTTTGTCTCCTACGTTGTTACTGATCACATGTTATTTTCAAGTCATGCCAAGTTGCACCTGATTGCTGTTAGGGATCAAGAAAATGCCGTTGTGTCTGTTTCTTGGAAAACAAGCCGTTGGAAAAATAAGCTTTACTTTATGGAGCAGATGTCACGTCATGTTCCCCTTTAAAGCCTTTGTTCTATTTGCTTCTTCTCGGAAGATGTGTGCAAGAAAAATAACAGACAAAGTAATGTGTTCTACTCCATTAAACTGTACAACGTGTTTTTGATAATGAACCAAAATGGAAAATAATTTCTGTTGTTCAGGTTGTGGCGACATTTCACACCCCCCCCCCCTCCGCAAAGTACAAACAAAAAAGTTATTTTTGATCACTTCCTTTCTACTGAGCTTTCTTCTCTCTCAGTAGAAACGTCTGAGTGTGATTTCAATCAGCCACAAAACTCGAAATATCAAAACAATGCAGAGAAAGGTTCGTGTTGACAATGCAGGAGCGTTTAATGAAATAGTTTTAAAATGCCGTGACAGAATGTTAATAAGCTTTTCTGCCAGCGAGACGAGATTAAACTCTGATTATGAAACCAGCATAAACAAATGATGCGAGCTAACGAGAGCCGCAGACGTCTGCGCCCCGTCCCTCCCGCTAATCGCTCCATTGTCTCAACCGTGATAATGTGGTCAGGACGTCTGGACCTGTCAGATAAATGAACGCTGGAGCATTTTCAATGTTCCTCATTCGCCGTCTGGAAATCCACCTCTCTGGTGTCGAGGCGTGGGAAGGACCCTCTGCAGCAGACCCTCGCTGGCCGCCATGAAAGGAGCTTGTGAGCTCAAAAATAAGTACTTGTGTTTAGCCCATTACCTCCAAGGACGTTGGGTTATTGACAGGCGTCCTTTATTGAGTTGTTTGTGCGCTGTCTTGATCAAAAGGACTCTTTGTGTACGTCCCAGGAAGCTCCACTGCACGAGGAACTACATCCACATGCATCTGTTTGTGTCGTTCATCCTGAAGGCCATCGCCGTGTTCGCCAAGGACGTCGTCCTCTACGACGTCGGGGAGGTGGACAACTGCTCCTCGGGCTCTGTGAGTCACCGCCTGTCGTTCGCCGTGGCCGTTTTCAGGGAGGAACGTTTTTTTTTATCGTCCAGAACCGTAAAGGAGAAGAAGAACTCTGTGAGGAGCTCGTTAGGTGAACATGACACTTGTGGGCCAATTATCCACATCAGACGAACCTCAACGAGATCAGATGTGGAAAGGGGGTTTAAGCGGCTGTCAAATTACCATTTTTACTCATTCAAGAACAACATGTCTACTTAAGAATAATATCTACACACTTAACAAGGGGCGAATTTATTACCCGATATTAACCTGAGTCTCTGTTATAAAATCTAGTTTTAAACCCCTACTTACTTCTTAAACATGTGTTTGTCAACAGTCATTATAAAGTCGGGAGTAATTGATGTATAAAATAATACTACAGAATATTTAGAGTCAAATCTCAACCTGACTGACATCTCAAAGGAGGGTTTCCGCTCAAGCAGCATATTATATAACTCTAAAAACTCCTTTTTAACCTGAAAAACACCTACGGCAGCTTACGGGCCATTTAAGCTCGAGCTCACATCAAACCACAATGTTTGGACGTCTTCCCGCCAGCTTCCGCCCGCCGCTCGTCGCGTTGGAGCGGCTATCAGGGTGACGGGAGACAGCCGCTGTCACGGGTCGAAGAGGGGTTTGGTGCTGCAGCGCTCATGTGTTACTTCCAATGCGACTGCAGGCTCGGTTTCTGTTGCATTCTGTGTGTGTGTGTGTGTGTGTGTGTGTGTGTGTTAGTAGTGTTCTGCATGCTTGTCTCATTGCGCTTCTTCTGCAAATTAGATTAGTTCATGATATAATCAGTGTGAGGAGGATTATAACAGTTAAGTTGATTGAGCTACATGTGTGTTTGACACTGTGTGTGTGTGCGTGTGTGTGTGTGTGTGTGGGATCGTTCTTCCCCATGTTGGTTGGCATTTTTAATTTGGAGCTCCAGCAAACAATTTGTATTTGTTTGCACGCATTATAACTGGAGACAGTCCGTCCGGGTCAATCTTCTTCCCCTAAAGACGGCTGTAGGAATCAATATATATCGACTAACCAATATCCTTGTCAACGTGAATGCCAGCTGCTTTAACCCTCAACATCCACGCACAGACCGAGAGGATGCACCTATTATTCATTTGTCTAAGATTGCGCTTAGCTTTGGTGTATTTAATTCAATGAACAAATTAATCTGGCTCCTTGAGTGTGCATCAAAGAGCTACACAGCACACACACACACACACACACATACACACATGAGCTCAGCCCACACACACCATTAGCAAAATGAACCTTTGATACGCGTCCTTGTGCAACAAGTCCAACAGCAGCCTCGCAGATCAGCGTTCGTCCGCAGCAAACAGAGTTTTGAATGAATTCATCCGTCCTGATGGAGGTTTTGTTGCTGACGGCCAACCAGAGCCGAGCCGATTGTGTCGTCCTTCTGCTCGCTGAAGTATCGGCTGCAACATTTCAGCACTTTCCTATTTTACAGGCATTGTATGTCCCAGGTATTGTTTGTATCACAGTGCACATCCACGTGTCGGATGGAACACAGTTTGGCATTCTGCTTTTGTAAATGATTCAATGGTACCACATATTTTCTTTCAAACTTTTTTTCTTTCGAACGGTTCATAAGGAGTAACTAATGGCCTTACATCATTCAATAATACTCTAAATGATGCAGCATTAAATCTCTCCGGCTGTTAAGTCAACACAATATAATAATCCTTCAGTTCTAAAAGTTTTAATGTCTAAAATGTCAAATTTTGCTTCTTGCTAACAGACAAATCAAGGGACACGCTGGGTGTACTTGTGGTTGTAAACTTTACAAAAAGGAGCTTATCATTATGTCTTTTGTACGTTGTTGTATCACTAGTGAACCCAGTTCAACAAACCCAATTTTCCTTTAAATACACACACATGTTCAAATCCCATAATTTATTCATGAATCATAGTCATCAGTTGAATGCCACTAAAGATAAATCGTCATTCTTGGCCATGTGTTGAAGAAATACAGCTGCTAATCTTATAAATATGTATTTCTGAAATTACTTACTTTGTGATGCACAATACACTTTATTTAGTTTATTATTTCACATTCAGCCTTCATTTCTTAATCCGCATTTGAATGCTTTGATATAAACTCATTGATAGAAGAAAATAGAAAATGTTATAAATTTTGTTGGCAAAAAGTGATTGGCTTATTTTAAAGGTTTTATTTTAAACGAAGACAATCTGCACCGTATTGAAAAATAAATGTTCTTCCACCTTTAAAGGAAATTCTGCTGCAACAGGGGAATGAAATTTCCCTGTAATATCTTCCAATCTTTGTGTCTTGTGTCCATTGCCAGGTCCGCTGCAAAGTAGTCATCGTGTTCTTCCAGTACTGTATCATGGCCAGTTTCTTCTGGCTGCTGGTGGAAGGCCTTTATCTTCACGCATTGCTGGCGGTCTCTTTCTTCTCCGAGAGGAAGTACTTCTGGGCTTACATTCTGATCGGCTGGGGTGAGGAAGCCTTTTATGTATTTATTTCATCTGCTATGCTGGGGGAGGAGGGGGGGGGGGGGACCTGGGTTGTCCTGCTGTTGGGATGTAATAATATATTTGGTGTACACTCGTATGTCTTTTAAAAAAATATTCTGTCCCTGTAGGTGGTCCAACAATTTTCATCACAGCTTGGAGCATCGCCAAAGCCTACTTTAACGACGTGGGGTGAGAAACACCACGTGTCCGGTTCAAAAGCTGGATCTGACGTGGCTTTGATTTCAAGTTGTGCATGAATTATTGTTTGATTCTCGACCAGGTGCTGGGACATAATCGAGAACACCGATGTGTTCTGGTGGATCATTAAAACTCCCATTTTGGCCTCGATCCTGGTAAGTTTACTGACTTACGTAAGTAGACTTCACCAAAGTAAAAGTAATTGCCCCTCAGAGAGAAAACATCCTTTCGAGTTATGACCAGTCCGCCCTGGCTGTATAATTGCTCATTTTGAACTCCATGTTGTATATTATTTGGTGTTCACGTTTCCCTTTCCCTTTATCCTTACAATCCTTTTGTGTTTAAGCTCACGCTCCTGAAGCAATTGTTCAACATTTTTGAAATATGCCTATTTGCTCTCTTAAAAAGAAACAACCAATCAGATTTCTTTTTTTTTTGAGCTGCGATTGAGTGTGTGTGTCACTGATTGAGAGAGACACTTCCGGTGAAGTGTGAGAATCAGGGTTGAAGTGAGTTGAACAAGCGGCACTGGGAGTGTTACAGTCAGTGAAGTGTCTCTCTGCACAACAATCTGACTCTGCTTTGTGTTATTAGCCGCGTGCGCGTTGATGATTAGCCCCGTGGAAAACCCGCCCATGGATTTACACTGTACAAAAATGATGACAGCAATATCATTTAACAAACGGCAGAGTGTGTGTTCGAGTGCTGACGGACGGTTTTGCCGGGCTTTGCGTGGCGTGCAGATGTAACAGATGTGTTGAGCTGTGTTCTTTCGCTTTAGGATCAGGATCAGCAGCCTCGTTGTCAGACGCCTCCGTCTCTTTTCATCTGCAGCAGCTCGGACTGATGTCTGTGCAAAGGGGGAGGTTTGTCCCCACCGACACTTTGGGAGGACACAACTGTCCTTACCAACGCGTATCAGTTAGTTAGAACGAATGAATTAACATGAATAGGTGCCACATGCTGGTTTAGAGAGGTGTCATCCCAAACGAGGCACAAGAGAGGAGAGAAGAATATATCCTGCCTGCATGTGTGTTGAGACGGCAGACTCAACATTAAAAGAAATATGAGTGCGATGTACTTCAGAAAGCCCGCCTGCCTTACTGCTTTATATTCCATTATACGTTGGAGCCTGAATTATGTGTTTGTCTCTGCATACTTCAATACAATCCCACCATCGTCTGGTGCATACAAATTCAACAGTGCGATGCCTTTTTGAGTAGTAGGTTCAGTATCAACGCTAGAACCTGAGCAGGTGACTTTGAACACATTTCCTCTCGGTAAAGATAAAAATCCCAATTCTACTGTAACGTATAACCCCGTATGTTTTCTCAAATCTCCCCAGCTGAACTTTATTCTCTTCATCTGCATCATAAGAATACTTCGCCAGAAAATCAACTGCCCCGATATTGGAAGAAATGAGTCCAATCAGTACTCGTGAGTATAAGTCATTTAAAAGTTGTTTTTGTTCTGTAAATTTGTATTAAATGTTGGATAAAGATCGAATTAAAGATTATCTCGAAAGCTGATAGAAAGATGTACATAAATGTCCTGTAGGTTCCCCATTAGCTACGCTTGTCTTTTTATTTTCTTGTCTCAGTTGAAGGATGAAACATCTTCTTTTAACTTGAGTAAGTAAGTAAGTAAATGCACGAGGCTTCCAGCACAGAAGCCTTTGTCTGTCCTCTGCTTGTTACGGAGATATAGAGCTCTACATGTTCAAGTGTTTTCCCGTGATGGAGAGCACAAGCTCTCCATCATAAGCCCACCATAATGCACAAGCAATTTTCCCTCTGTCACTTTTAATGGAGTTAACTTTCCATATCTGGTCGTCAGGGCGGAATGTAAAATGAAAAGTACCCCGGAGTTGCATTTCATTGTTGACTTCTATAAAGACGGATAGAAGATTGGTTTCACCTGAGGGAATTTTTATTTTTTTCTGCTCCGTCGTTTCAGGAGGCTGGCGAAGTCAACCCTGCTTTTGATTCCTCTGTTTGGGATCAATTTTATCGTGTTTGCATTCATCCCAGAGCAGGTGAAGACTGAGCTGCGCCTGGTTTTTGACTTGATTCTGGGATCGTTTCAGGTAGGTTTGGAAGAGGGGATTATGAACGAGCGCCTCTACGAATTTGTGTTTCACGACAGTCATCAAACACCATGATTGATATTGAAGAAACGGTGGCAAACGGTGGCCCGGTTTCTGCCCCCGCTGCTTATTTCACCTCATCATACATTGAGAAACGATGGAGAGATGCAGCCAAACATCAAAGCTGCATTAAACCTTTCCAGCTCATCCCTCAACCGTTCTTCTCATTCCTCTGTCTCAATTTTCCTGTCAACAATCACACACAATGCAATGTTTTTCCATTCATGTCTCATAAATGCCACATGTTAAAGCATGAATTAGAAAATAGCTGTTAAAACAAGTGTGTGAGTGATTTGCTCTTTTAACCGCGTTTTTTTGTTCCACTCAGGGCTTTGTCGTCGCCGTCCTTTACTGCTTCCTTAACGGAGAGGTGGGTACCCTCCTCACACTGACGGGAGCCCTGTGTGTATAAACGCACTGTTTAAACATTTCCACGCCGAGACTGCAAAGTGTTGATTCTCAGGGAAACGTAGTTACGCTGCAGTTTTTCCTGAGGCTCCGTCTGGGCACCACTTGCATGTACAAACAGTCCTGAACAGCTGTTAGTATGAGTCACCAGCCCTGGTTGCCTCCCTCGGACCTCCTCGCAGAGCATTTCCTGCACTCTCCCGGCGGGACAGGAGGGTTTAAAAAGCGCGAGCTATTCGGTAATGTCTGCAGAGGCTCTCTGGTAGTTATTGTCCCAGTGCTGAGCCAGATTCAATCCCGGTGATGGGTTGGATGGCGAGGCTTCACACTACGCTGTTTGAATTCTAATCTGCAATTTCCAGGCGTTATACTTGTGATGCATCGGTGGTGTCCTGCCTATAGATTACTGGACTCCCCAAAATGGCATGCAGTTTGTAATTATCCATTATTACCATGGAGAATAATATGTGAAGAGACTAAATATCCATGTTGCTCGTTAGCTGTTTCACCCCTAGTTGAATTATCGTGTGCTTTTGCACTTCCTCATATTGTATTATGAGCTAAATGCTATTTGAGCTTTGGATAGTGACTGAAAAAAAACACTCGCTGTATTAATGTATAATTGTTCTAATCTATTGTAGGTCCAAGGAGAGATCAAGAGGAAGTGGCGAAGGTGGCACCTGCAGAGGTACATGGGCTCGGACACCAAATACCAACATCCCTCTATCGGCAACAGCAACAACTTCAGCACCCAGATCACCATGTTGACGCGTTGCAGCCCGAAAACACGTCGGGAATCCTCCTCCTGCCACGACGACCTGTCCAGCATATGAGTCACACAGGCAGAGACGCAGACGCGCATGCCGGACCGAATGCTTTCATGCCACTCATAACAAGAAAAAATGAACACGCACTGCCTCAAAAGCACACCGCACCGGGGGAGGATGTTGCCGCTTGAGCGTCGTGGACGAGGGGAAGTGATGAAGTGAAAATAGGGTGCTTTTAATCTCCATGCTTCTTAAAAACACTTTGGTATGAAGTGACAAAGACACGTTTACATCGCTTCGCACGCACAGACCTTTGCACATGTGAACGAGAATCATTCGCCTCTTTGCATGATTCAAGATTCAGCACACATACAGAGTTATTTGGTCAATATGGTCAACAGGTCAATTGGGTTTGTGTTGCTCTGACTCGGGGCAATGCAAAATGTCACAGATTCATTTGGTCGGGTGAGGGAATCCAATTGTGGGCTGCAACAGCATCCAGTAATCTCATGAAATGAATTAATACTCAGTGGATTCCCGCTGAAACAAATGAACAAGGCTGGTGTGAGAACACATCTCTTTTAAAAGGCAATCACGTTTTTTTATTGTTAGCTGGTGCAGCGACCTCACTGAGCAGGTGCCAGACATGTTTTGAGGGTGTTTTTGAATGTAACGATACTTGGTGATCGAAATATGCTTTAAGCATAGTTCTAGGGTCCTAATGGTCCTTACTGTTCAGACGGTACAGGAAGACAGAAAAAGCAAAAAGTGGTTGATAAGTGATTTTAAATGCTTGTTTTTTTACATCGGGGGACCAGTTTGGGATTCACAGTGATGGGTCTCATCAGAGGCTGATTGCTCTTTTATCAGTAAAGTCCCTCTTGTTTTGTGTGATTCTGAGTCTGTGGATTGTGGTCGTTTTCATCTGAGGCACTTCAATCAAATATTTATTGGATCTAATTAAAAGTGTGCAGAAACAACTAAACAACTTGCACCCTCAGCTTGTCCTCAGCTGAGAGTGACCCAACTGCCGCCTGGGCCTCAGACCTCCTGTTGCTGCCGCCGCACAGCTCGCCTACCAGCACGCCAGCAACACGCCACCAGCGCGCTTTGACTACTGAGGAACCACGGCGGGGCAAAGTGACGGCCATCAGACCAGACACAAGGTTGTTCCTTTGTCCCTGCCACCCCGAGTAATAGACTATGGGCCGCAACGTCATCACAGCGACCTGCAGTGTCGCGGTAACGTGGACTGTAGGCCGACGCCACGCGTCCAAGATGGTGAGGTATTGCTACCGGCTCGTTGAAGTTGACGTATTCTTGCAGATTGTGTGGGGCCGAAATCTGAGAGGAAAAGCTGCCCCGCATTACTTTTGAGCCAGCGGGTCACTATTACATGTTGCACCTTTAAGCAGTTAATGAATGTTAACATTTTCTCTACAGTAGCCGTTTAACAAATACAGCCAAAATATACAGTGTAAAAAAAAAAACAGTTAGTATGGATTATTGTGTCGGATCGTGTATCAGTAACGTGAATTTGACGTTTGTTCATTTGTTGTTTGTGTAGCGGCTCAATACTTCGCATGACAGTGAAATCGAAGCCGATGCATCACACTTTGAAATCAACCGTGCAGACTCGCACAGAGAAGCTCTCTTTGCAGGTGCTTTGGTAGATTCTCCCCGTTTGAAAAATATTTCCTCAACCCCACATCCACCCGTCAGTTTCAAACCGCTCCACCTGAGGAGCTGGAACCTGACAAGTCGCCAGTGGAGACGACTGGAGCTTGTATGTGGAGCACAGCGAGGTGACAGGGATGACTGGTCCTGTCACGGCGGTGCCGTCATCGGGCTTTTAACAATACGAGGTCAGAATTCAAAGTCGCTTAAGTGTTCACGCAAGAGGGAAAAAATAGAATATCTGAACTGATTTAAAGGGTCGGTGAAATCCACACATGCAAATATTGATATTGTTATACACATTAAATGCATCTGTAAATGGGACGCTTTTGGTTGTGATTAAAGGAGCGATACAGTACAACAGCTTTTTAAATATTCACCTTCTGGTCGACAAGGGAGAAGATCTGTGTGTCACTCTCACTAAAACATTGGAATCCGTCACGTGCGCTTTATTTTCCCTGCCTCTTTTGTCCTGTGCTCACTTCCCTTCCTGCCCTCGTGAGTTCCATGTGATTGTCGGCCTCGTCCCCGATTGTATCCTCCTGTGTCTAAAGCGCCCGTGAAATGTCAAACTACTACTAACACATTATTCCACTTTGTTTGATGCCTGTCAGGAAAGTTGTCTTATAATTTGGCGAACATGCCAAGCGACCTCTCATAATGGTGAAGTTAAATATGTCGGTAGGCCAAAAAAACACCCAAGAATTCAATGTTGTAAAACTGCTGTTTCTAGATCTTTTGGTGTTTAAGTGATGTGGTTGTTTTGTATCAGTGAAATAATATTAAGTGATATTGAATAAACAATTGTTCTATGTGTAACTAATTAGCTTTAGTATTCAGTCCTGGAGCATGTTAAGTATATATTTGTTTCTCTGCAAAATGGATATTATTATATTTTGAGGTTTAATAGTTGATTTGTTGGTGCAATGCGTGTAAAGTTGGTTCAATGCATAACAATGAAATGGATACATTGATAAATGCATGCATAACAATGTGAAGCTACAAATGCAAGTATTCTACGTTCCGTTGACATTTGTGTGACATTTGTGTGCACATGAGGCCACATCTAATTCATTTTGTACCTTGTTGCTCAAACTTGTCTTGGCGGGAAATCATCATATTTTTTTAATCCACTGTTCGACTTAAACTGTATGAAATAAATTATTCACAAATGTACAAGACGGGGAAAATTCTAAATTTGAATTCTGAGCCGAACAAATCACGATCTAAATAATCTCATTAGAAAAGTCAAGACTTTCTGCACCGTCAACAGTTGTGACGTCTTCACTGCCGTACTGACACCTAATTTAAGCTCAATTCACCTCTCTGCTACTTGGCGAGGGCTCGGCCCACAGTTGAATCCTTTGTATTTTTATTTTACTCCCAGAGAGGCTCAGTTGAGCTCGGATCAAGCTTGTTAAATCAAATGTTCTGAGCCACGTGCCGGGGAAAATACTGTTCAGGTGTTTCTCATTTTAAATATTCTAGTTTCTATAAAACCAGCACTCTGCTCACATGAACCGCCAGTAACCGTCAGACAGCTGCATGTCTGAAAGTGGTCGGAAAGCAGCACATTCTTTAAGAGACGCTGACAGCTCAACCCATTTGAGTCACTCTCTCCGGCTCACAGAGAGGAATTAACCCAGTAAATAACTGGAAAAGTACCTTTCCTCTTCATCGGTGTCACAGTGCCCTTAAAAGGCAAAGTGTCTGCAAAACTTGTAATGCTTTGTAAGGGCTTCAGATCTCAGCTCAATAAAGACTTTTGTTCGACATCACCAATCAAGTCCAATCAGAAAACAATAATGTACATTAAATAGTCAATTTATTTGTATACTTTGAGGCAGGTTACTTTGTGCTGCTTTGATCTTTCCCTCTACTTTATTTCAGACGTTCATACTTTACTACACTAACACATGAGTGGTGTATAAAACCTCTTAACATATGGAAGTTTGGCGTGTAAAATAGATATGAAATCATTGAAATGATGATTTCTATATTTGAAACTACCTGTGATTTGACTACAACACCATTTCAATCCAGAGAGACTTGTTGAAATTCGAACCATGCTTTATATATAACAGGCATAATATGATATTGCAAGTTGTTTGGGGCTTGGACTCCATCCTGCCGCAGGATAGACCCGGGGCCGGGATCTCGAGCCGAGACGAGGCATATCCCCCCCTTGGGAGTCCAGACACGTGATGGTGGTGGTGGAGCCCAAGTTGCATAACTCTCCTGCTATGCCAGGTTCTGCTGTAGATTGGAGGGGCCAGTTGTGGTGGCGGGTCACCTTTGGAGCGTGCTGAAATGACAACTGACAGCAAAAGAGCGGAGAACAGTTTTTAACGTTTGCCTGCCCCAATGCTTACTTCTACAACGATTGAAAGGCACAATCTGAAATGCAAAACGAACTTACCAACCACTGAAACCACAGGATTGGAATCGCTCCCACGTTACTTCACGTTGCATTTTAGAGGCAATTATAGGTCATTTCTTTTCAAATTGTTTAATTGGTCGGCATAATGTGTCCATTTTTTTATTAGATATATTTATATATTTAAACTCAATAACTATCTTTATTTTCAACACTCAAGTTTTGAATGCAGGACTTTACCCTGCAATAGAAATACGTTTACTGTCTCAGTAATTCTTCGCCCTTTGGGTAAACGGATCTAAATCATTCTTCGTCAGAAATCAAAGCAGCTTTCGCTCCAATTCCCCTCAACGGCAGTTGGACTCCCCTTCCGAATATTTGACAGGAACACTTGCCTGCTGAGTTTGCTTTGGTGTAATGAAACTCTAGTTGAGTTGGTCCGTCTGTTGTTGTGCCTCAGCTTTATTGGTTCACTCACACCCTTTTGAGCACAGCGGGCCTCTTGTTGTGCGCAGCGCCGTGAAGAAACGCAAATCCAGTCACTGCGAGTTGCTCTGTGGCCGGCGCGCCTTCACTAACATGCTGCTCTCGGGGTCTGACGCTTCATTAGCTCTCTCCATGAGCATGCACATGATGTCATTAATTACTAGGAGCTGTAATGATTGCAAATAGCATGGCATATTAACAGTGCAGTGTATTAAACACAACAAACCCTGAGGCCCGTGTGTTGGAACACGCTGAACAAACGGATAAAAGAGAAAGGGCTGTATTGTTTTCCTTTGATTGACAAACTCTCGTGGAAATCCTACCGCTTAAACCGATTGCCCGTGTTTCGGAGTGACTTTCGGTCAGATTTAATGAAACAGCTGGTTTCTGCAGACAGGAGAAAAGGTTAATAAAGGCTATTTTCAGACTCACCGTCAAAAAGTGAGGCAGGTGTCTTGCCTTTAGGCATCTTCCAACATTCATGACATCGGTTAAAAATAAACCAAAGGTTGCAAAGGAGCAGCGAGGGAGTGACCCACTGGGCTCCGTCCACTGCATTGATTCCCTCTGACTGCCGAGTTAAAGAGAAGCCTCCTTCGTCTCCTTCGACTGAGTCATGCTGATGAACATCCTAGCTGGAGGAACAAGACTCCGTATTTATATTCCTTTGGCTGCTTTAGTGGAGATTCTTGAATGATGGCAAAAGCTTGAGGTTCTTTTCTTTCACATAACCGGAGGAGTTCTCACTTTAATTACAATAAAGGAAACATCGCACCACCTGTAAATAACATGAACCAACAAAATGATCCGGGCTGACCCATCAGAGCCGTCATTTATGGACAAACAGTAGCTCAATGGGATGTTAAAGGAGATTGTGCGATAGTTTGTAATAGTTTTGAGTAAAATTTTAACAAAAATATTATTACACTCACAGATTATAGATGCACAAGTCCGTCACATTTAGCCATTTGAACACCTTTGTAAAAACAGTTAAAATTGTCACAAACGGTGTATTCACTTGATGATGTAGTTTAGTTCTGTAAAAACAAAACGTTCAAACCTTATTTTAGGGAGAAATATTATTATCATGTGTGCCGGGCAAAATGACAACATATAGCAATTACACCATGAATTATCACCAACCCTTTGGTTTCCCTCAACTCCACCCCCCTTATCTGACACTCAATAAACTCAACTACATCGAGACAAACCAAACATAGCTTACATACAGTATGTTGGGTATTTCCTTTCTGTTCCTTGGTTGCAAAGCTGCATTGTTGTCGCACTGTTGTTTGCGTTGACTCGATCGTGATTGATGCAGCACACAATCCTTAGTGAGCCATTCTTCTAAAATATGCACCTCCATTCAGCCTGTAATGTGATTCGCCAACGAATCCACCAGAAAGCCACTCTTTGATTCATGTTTAAACGAGGTGTGAACCCGCTCGGGAAGTTGTTCCACACTTTCCCCGCCACAATCACCGGATGCTCGATCTCACTTTTGATTATAAATGCATAATTCAGTTTGGGGTGGGGGGGGGGACTCATGAAGTATTTAAAGCACGCCACCTCGTCTGGGTGAAGTGATGGCTTCGTATTCACGGCGGGGCAGCGAGAGTCATTGCACGAGGGAACCGGTGGTGTGAACGGAAGCAGCTGGACGAATGCTGTGCATGTGTATTTATGTCCAATTAATATCACTTAGCACTCCGATAAAGTGAATACACAATGATTCCAGTAAATTTCACTGAATAAAGTGGTAAACTGTTTAGATCCAGTTGAAAATATAATTTGACTTATCTTTCATTTTGGTTGGGTTTATATTCCTAACAAACAAAGACATTCATTCAACAGCAGATGAAAACGTATCTCACTGTATAAAATTCATCAGCTCAATTTATAAGGTTTGATTTGAGACTTTAAAAGGAATTAATCTCGGTATGCGAAAAAAAAAAACAGATTAGTTTTTTGGAAGGATTGTTTTTTAAACTCATACAGAACATAAAATTCATATTTTTTCATAGTATTGACAACCGTTATGGACGTTGTGGGGGGATTTTTGTTTCCAATTTGTTGTTTCCAGGGCAAACACATAAATCAAAACCTCAGCTTTTCATATTGGATACATCTCTTTGGATCAATTTTTCCGACAACTCGAGCGGCAGGAAATCCACTTGAGAGCAGGAGATCCTTCCAAGTGAAGTCGGTTGCTCTGGGAGACGGGAATGTTCCAAGACTGAGTTTATGAATTGTTGAACATCACAACAAACACAAGGACGCGCTGCACAGCCGCTGGGGGGGCCGAGAACCAGGCCGGGAATCAACACGGCAAAGCTGTGAATGTAAAAGCTCTGCCATTATTTCTGCAACATTTACAAAGCCCAGTGAATCATGGAATCAAGGGAGAGATGAGCACAGCTAAAAGGGAGTGAGGACGCCGGACATTCACCAGAACCGCAACTCCAGATGTGTCCGAAACCGCCTTTGTGCGTAAACAATGACGCAGCTGCTGTGTTTACAGCTGGTTCCCCCAAAATGGCCCAAAACGCCCACGAGCCTTGAAACGTAGTCTGTCCGACCTCCTAGATGAATCCTAAATGTAAACTGCTGTTGATGCAGAGAGAAGACTGTCTGTAGCTCACAGGGAGACTGCTGCAGTCACGGCAGAAATTTGTGTTTGAAACAAATGGAAACTGCACCTGACCTGACACATGGATTAAATAAGAGAAGGTGCCAAAATGACTGATCTTGATTAAATCTGCCACGACTTAGTCATTTCTTACAGTTATTGGAGCTCTTTATAAGATTTCCTTTCGTAACATTAAACAATCATAGAAGGGTTTTGACCTTTTAACGCTCTGATTGTTTTGCTGGACGCTTGCTGCTGCCACCGTAACAATGGCTCTCAACGTTGCTTTAATCTTCAACTATACAAAAGTGGATATTAGGTTTGGTCAAACCGGGGCAACTATTTATTTATAAATAGTTATTTAAGTTATCCATTCACTTTCTATTCAACCAATGCTTTGCTACTTTAACTTAAATATTTCAGCATCCCGTTGTCTATATTTTAAGTCTTTATCGATACCCAGCATCTTAGTTATTATTTCACCTATTAGCTATTTTAACTGTTGATTTATTAATTTATATCAAATCATAATACACATGCCATTATAATGCTTAGCTTACTACTTTTAAAATTAAACAATTGGAATAATTTATCCATCACATTTCGATGTATAATTTATCAATGTATCCATTTCAACTGCATTCTATTTCCCCCCCCATGTATCCATTACGTTTAATAAATTTGATCTATATTACTTAGCTCGCTTGCTAACCGGATTTTCAGGCACTCAATCATTCACAACTACCGTTTCCTTGCTAGTGTTCCTGTATTGGTCTGCCAGTCTAAGCCAACCAGGCTGCACATACAAGCACAGGTCAGCGACCATCAAATGCTGCTGGACGTTGACGAGCATTTAACGCTGGTCAGCGAACTGCCGCTCGCTGACAACAAATAGCACAGTGTCAGGAAACGTTTGTATGTGTGCAATAACCATCACATTTAAGAAGCGTTACGCTATTTCACCTCGACGACACTGGAGACAGAAAACACTATTAAATGTGTTTTATTACTGAGAGCTGAAACAGAAAAACATCAGACAACAGCGCTGCTGTTTGGTGTATATGTCAGAGCAGAAGAGGTACGAGTGAATGAGAAAAATTTGAGCCATTAAATTGTATATATATATATATATATATGTACACATATATTTCTCTATCTAGATAGATATGTTCTATTTGTTTACAGGTTGGACCCTTAAATGCTCTTCCTAAATATGCATTGACATACTGACTAACACTCTGCTTGCTTAACGGCTAATGAGACGCTGCATCAATGCCTGTCAAATAAAAATGGCTATATAGGCGGTGGGTGAGATATTCATGGAGGGGTTTTATTGATGCCTCCAGAATTAAACGGGAGCTTAATTGCGACGTTATCGGAAACCCGTGGAGAGTGATGCAGCTGGAGGTCAAAGGTCAAAACGGTCAATCTGTATCTCAGCAGAAGACCCCCTCTGTGGACGGGAGGAGGATTAAAACTGGATTATAAAAACATTTTTCTCACTTGGTTCCAACCCGTGAGGCCTTAAAAGGGGCCCGAGTTAATATTATTACTTTAAAGAGTCCTCGATTAAAGAAAAAAACAGAAATAAAGACCGATTGTATAGTTTTATCCATCAATATCAAAGTTGTAGCCTTTATCTTCAAATTAGGTGGCAGAACGTGTCGATATCGAATCATCTCACCAAAAGATGTCTTCTTTATTGTAACTGATCAAAGTCTGAGTCAACCCCGTCCAAAACCCAGAACGAGAGACGCACGGGAAATAAATTATTAAACTTAAACAGGTTTAAAAGTTAAGTGCCAGCAGTCTGCAGAGAACATCTTCAGCCAGTTTCGGTCATATATATTTGTTCTACAACAAGGCATCATAAACGGTTCATCTGACAAAGAACCACGTCTTTAAGGCAACTAAATTACTACATGATTCCCATTAATTGAAACTCACAAGAAGAACACAGACGATTTATTTGGAGTTCAAATGAACACACAAACCATATCATCTATTCACAATAGATGAAGTATGAAATGTACGTCTTTCCTGACCCAAGATTTCATGAAGATCAGTATCTTGTGAAAGTGCTCCATCTGGTGTAATATTGGAGAAATACACAAGTAAACGGTAAAACGTTAAATGGCACTTTTAGAAAAACTCTTTGACGTATTATTGCTGATTCTGGAGAGAAAAGTCATTTCTTAGACACACAAATCAGATCAACAAGAGGAAAAAAAGACACTGTTTATTGACCAAATGTCAGTTTTACCACAGCAGGAAGTAATAAAGCCCTGTAATCACCAGTGTGTTTGGCGGTTACAATGAATGACAAGTACGTCACTTCCCAATATTACACACATCAACCTCATGAGTACAAATAACTCCTTTCTGCTGACTGTTTTGATATACAAAGCATCTAACTACTTTAAACCTGAATGAGATTTCAAAAGAAAATCCTGTATCCAGATCAGACTTTAAATAATGATAAAAGAGACAGAATAAGAGAAGGCTGCCACATATTTCAATTGTACAGTGAATTTCTACTAAATGTTATAAAGGCGTCATAATCGACTAAATGATCCTTTCCGTTTCAAGTGTCTAAATTCTCCCCACATTATTTGGTTCTACATCTTGAGCATAATGGCGGCATCATTAACATTACCATATATTGCAGCCTCACCAATGTCCTGCACAGAAAATGCCAAGAAGTTTTCACTTAATAAATGGCATCACACGTGGCCGAGTCCCTCCACATGTCAGAAATGACACCCAACACCCAGATATGAGCACGACACATTGAAAATGTATTAAAAGGCTTGACTGTGCCATCGAGAGCTAAATTACTTTTTATGTTTTTGTAAACTAAAACTTTTTTCTTTTAAAACATTATTGTGAAGGACGTGAAGGACGATTGTCTGAACCTCTTCACTGTAAAATCCTCTTAATTTTCCCGATATAATGGTCTGATAAAGGAAACAATGCCACAAATATTACATTTTACCGACAAACAATATGAACTAATAATTTACTCCCTCGCTCAACACACATTAGTGCAACTCTTCAGCTATTAGAAAAGAACATCTAGGAAGCTAAATACACAAAATCCTATTAAAGAACGAACTAAAAGGAGATGTTTCCGATTAATTTAGTAGTGCTACCATTCTATAAGGGAACATACGCAGATAATAACTCGAGTTCTGTTTAAGACAATCTGAGAACGACAGGTAGTGAGCGGTGTAATAAATCCTGAAGAAGACATAAAACTCAAACAAGTAAACCAATATCAGGATATAAATAGCCGAACCTGATATGCAACACCTTCAAGAACAATGGCCAAACCCTATAGAAAAACAAAAAATGTAAATAGTATTTTACCCATCAAATCAGTGCTTTCATATTCTTACCCGCAGTTTACATTTTAACAAAGCAACAATCAATTTTAAAAAAATAGACAAAAGTCAGTTGTAAATTTGTAATGAATCAAATAAACATTGGTTTTAAATGAAGAAATGATCTTATCACAAACATCATAAAATGATATGAGATTGTGACTATGAGACTAATGTTCCCCCCTTGAACTTTTAATTAATAAGTTAATCAATAAGGGAGCCCTTACATTTTAAACTTTGCACTGACTAGCTGAGCACTTGCTGGTGTATTTGTACATACGTCAACACGATTAAACAAACCAAAAGCAACTAATGGAAACCAAAAAATGAAATAGCTGCATTGTCCGCTTTACTTGGCCGTCACTGATCTCAAACAAACACTAAATCATAGAAGTAGCAAACCTCCAGCAATGGAGGTTCACCTGCCTGTATGCCTTTTACATCTAACAATTACATCAAATGTTACAATCACCAACTGTCACTTAGCATTGATTAACTGATTATGCAAAGATAATAAATGGCCTGTAGTAGCGGAAATAATACTGAGCTGAAATTGAGCATAAATTAAGCATTAACCTTCTCCAACAGTTTATAAAATGTTGTTTCTACATAAGAAAACAATCCTTCATTTTCTTCAAAACCTTTGTGGGACGGGACGGATCCTGAAGCTTTTTCTGTTGGTAATCTGTTTCCACGCAGCACTGCACTTTACCTTGGATCGAGAAGCTAATTCACACAGAGTGCAAGTAGCTACTGTCTATAAGGAAATATTGACGCCATTTTCCGTGATCACACAAAATTTGTGAACATGTGATTTTGTTAAAAAGCCAAACATCTTCGTATCTCGCGTGCATTGAACCAATCGCCCGCCTGCCTCTCTCACCTGCACCGAAAGAGCTGTGAGCGGTGATCCCGTCCTCCCCCCCGCGCGCTCCTCACACCCCACAGTCGTTGGTTCTGTCTTGCAGTTTGCGGGTGAGGATGAGGAAGGTGGAGAGGGACGCGACTGAAACGTGGAAGATCAGCTGCCACGGGTTCCTCAGGCCGAGCAGGTAGAAGTTGCATAGGACAATCGCACTCAGCAGGGTGAAGGACTTGGGTTTCTTCCGGGACGAATGGAACAGGTAGAGGTGGCACTGTGGACACGGAGGTCGTTGACATGGTGTCAGCAAGAGATTGTTTCAGTTTGCAACAAAAGAATGTGAACTACAGTCACCTGCAACAAACAGCAGACAAACGCCAGAAGAAATGCCGCGACATTCCATATTCCTTCATAATCATCCTGCGTAGAAAAGGAAAACAATTAATGTCAATCAGCTTAAAGTCCACATCATTTAAACTAAACCACATTTATTTTCAGATTATAGCTAAACCAGACAAGAGGGAAATGTTTGCAGATTTGTGCAGACCTCATCATCAACAAACCTCTGCTTTCACAGCAAAATGCAAAGCAGCCGGTTCTGCCAGCTCAACATACAATTAATGTAAGCTTATACATGACAATTTCAAAATATCGCCAACTAAACATAATGCAAAGCCAGAGAACGGGCTTCTTTCTACAAAACCTAAAGTTAAATTAAAGCATTTGCAATAAGATTGCACTGGCCATACCTGGAATGTGTACTCTATGAGGTGAACACCTCGGATTATGTTCAAAGATGCACACACAATATTTAGGACCAGAGAGAGGATGCCTGCCGCTGTCACTTGTTGGAGTCTTCCATTCTGACCTGTTTGAAAATAAACCAAGTGAAATAAATAGTGCAAAATAACAGAACACAGAAAACGTCGGGAATGTTTCCTCATTTCTGCATTACATGAACATTGAGCAATAAACCACTGTTTCGTTTATGCTATAGTGTAAAATTCATCTAGTCAGCCCTACCAGATCCAGGACTTTGCTCCATGTGCCCATTTGCAGTGCCGTTGGTAAGCTCCACTTCCTCCCAGTTAATCACTTGTGGTGGATGGAGCCTCAGATCTTCCTGGACCTCTGCCAATGTCACCTCCAGCGCCGGTCCGCCGTTCTGGTTGTAATGCTGCTTCAGCTTCTGAATGGTGCCGTCTGTCGATTTGCATCCAAAACATTGGGATGAATCAATGTACTGTTAGTTGAAAGTATTACAGCGCATCTTCTTTGTTTGCCGTTCCACACATCACACTTAAATTCAGGTCAAAAATCCTTTGCAAGCGCAAATCGAGATGGCCGTATTCATCACCCTACTCACCAAATTCTAAAAACGGATATGGCCTGGCTGCCAAGGCGACAACAGTGCTTTTGAAGCTCGCTGTGAACTCCCAGCGCAGATCTTCCAGGAAGCAGAAGGCCTTAGCAACAGGGAGGCTGCAGTGGCACACGGTCATGTAGGATACACCCTCTGAAGAGACGAAGCTGAGGAGATGAGGGGAGAAAAAGGTGTTTAGTAAACAAACAGCCTGACGCAGTGTGACTCGGATGCCCCTGTGATAGAATGGACCAAATTCTGTCTGTATTATATTCAAATATACACATATTCTCTGTAGACTGTTTTGTGTATTTATGGCCCTTAAAAAGAGCACAACTGAAACTGCTTCGTTTGCCAAATCCTTACTAGATGTTGAGCTCCCGGCCCTTGATGGTCCCTTTGTCGGGGAAGCGGGCCAGTGCCTTGCTGGTGGTCCTGAGCTGCTGCTTCCTCTCCTGGAGCTCGCGGTTGTGTTCAAAGTCTGTGGAGGCCGACAGGGGGAGTCCATCCCTCACCCGGACCACAAAGGCAAACAGGATCAGAGACATGATCCACAAGGTCCATGGAGAACACACTGCCTACACGGGGTAATCAGATCAACAGAATTGTTATTTTAGGACTCTAACTACATTACTGTCATCATTTGACAATAGTTTTATTGGATAATCATGTAATTGTTATCTGTAAAATGTCAGGAAATAGCCAAAAAAAGCTCATTATAAGTCCCCAAAGTGTCTTATCTAAAGGTTTAGCGTTGTTCTAAAAGCAGTGCATTCATTGACTAACACGTAAAACTAAAAAAAGCATATTTACTACTGAGGTACTACCTTTGGTTGCTTAAATGGCTGAAAGGGTTATTACCATTTCAATCGACTTGCTGTATTAATTAATCAACCAACCAGTCATTCAGCTTTATTTAACCACACTTTGCTAAGACTAATAGATTAATAAAACAGCCTACTATCTTTGTGAAGGTTATCACTCATGTTACCTGTTTAATCATTCCTTAATCTATTCTAAAATATTACAACATTGTAGTGTGCAAAAGAAACTATCCCTATTGATGTAATATGGGCCTGTGAAGTTGAAATTGACTTTTTTTTTTTTACTATTTCACCTTCTCAGAGGAATTTTGCAGCACATTATTTTCTGCAGGTGCACAAAACGACTGAGTTTAACTAACGTTATCTTACTAGCAACAGTTTAAAAATAGTAGACATGCCATTTTTTTATTTTCTCGTAAACAATTGAGATTTCGGTGTAAATAAAAAGATATACTTGTAGTAACACCTTACCTCATTGTCATGGGTTTCATCCTGCACCTTGTAACTTAGCTAGCTGGAGGTTAGCTGGCCCTGCAACATGATTTAAAGGAGATAAAGCACCAGCACGTAGCCAGCACCCGTTTCAGATACCCGTTACCAGTGCGATAGCATTATTTCCATAAACGGAGATTGCTATAGACAACTTAAATACGCTATTATAAAACATACGGGGAAAGTTGTATTAAATGAAGCCAACGAGCTAACCTGAAAGCATTTCCGCATATAACAAAATCACAACAAATCGTCTACGGATCCTCGGAAGGGACAAAACAGACTCAGTCGGAGTGATCATACAGAGCCTCGACCTCTCCCTTGCGACGTGAAGTTAGCATTTAGCTATTTGACTGGCTAGCTACCGTACAGAGGTTAGTTACATCATTTGAAGTTAATGTGTATAACCTGCGACCTGCCAGCTTCACATTAAATGTCAACGGAATTCCGGCTGAGGGCGAAATATAACGTAAACTAGCGTATTTAACATCGCCAACGTTAGCCGTTAGCTCAACCATTTTGGATGCGCTGATGTTTGTGTTATGGAAACGTTAGCCGCCGTTAGCTACGTAGCTAACTTAGCCTGTTATTTTATTGTTCTAAGCTCGGTGTGGTCAGTAAGATGTTAGTAACTTTAGGTATCGGAACCTAGTTTCGTCAGCTAATTAACGTTAATACTACTGAAATCATGAGCTGTTCCCTTATTCGGATAATTTCTCGACCTGATCTATACATCGTATTTGATATATAACTAACTGGTATTTATGATACAATGCAGCACACATGACCTCAAATGCAACTAGATAATTGACAACACTCTGTACAGTTGAAAGTTCTCCTTGAGGTTGGCATTGCTGGACATAGAGGTAGCGTTTTATGATCAAACAGTCGAGGTTTGTGATAGGATACGAGTTAAGGTTTTTCACATCATTTCAGTGCTCTGAAATTAGGTCTAGTAGAATAAAGTCTGCTCTCTGTTCCTCTTGTTACACCACTATGCCAACACACGCGAACGCACCATGTGAGGGGATGAGAATTATGTGTACGCACAGTATGCCGAGCATTTTCTCAACAATATGCCGCCTGTTTCATGCAAAGTTTAATAAATCATTGCTGACAGATTATTGCATGCTCTTCTTGTTTTGCAGTTGTTGGTAGAATACATTCTGGCCATTGTTTGCTGTGCTCGCCTTTGTTGTGATTTGATTAACCGGCCACTTTCCCCATATTTCTCTCCTCCCATCCTTCCCTCTCCTCCCCTTTCTGTTTCCATCCTCCTTCTCGGTCGTTTAAGTCTCTCTACACACCCTTCTAAACCGGTTGTGCGTTGTAGGAGCTTCAGCGCCTTACTGCTTCTTTAAAAGAAGAAAACCTTGTTATTTTTCCTGATTTTAGTATTTTTCTTTATTCTCTTTTTCTACATTTTAGGTCATCGGACTTTGATCAGAATGGGGGTGAAAGACCGGCCTCAGTGTTACTTTGATGTGGAGCTCAACCGGGAGCCAGGTAAGGGAATTTCAAATGCCTTCACAGGCATGAGAATTAGTGAGACAGGTGAACAGCTCATTTTCACAGCAAGATCTGAGATCAAATCAGATGTTTAAACTCTACGTGAGTTGTTTTGTTTACCTTTGAGCTTATAATTCTACTATTTGTGGTACACTGACTTGGTGGACCGGTTTTGTGTCTGGAACCAGATCTGTACTGAATGGCAGCATTTTTGGCTGTGCCCGAGAAGCTATGGCAACTATGTGGCCTCTGGCTAGATGGCTGTTTTTAATTTGATTAATGGCAGGGAGGGACAAAGAGATCCCTCATCAGCATTGTAAGAATAGTTTCACATTTTCACCTAGCAATGGAAAGGCTTCCATGAAGCTCGAGCTTCACCACAGGATTCTTGTAATTGTTGGGAGCTAATTAAAAGTGTGCTGTGTAGTAACATTTGGGCTGCTTGTAACTGTTAATTGTGTCTTTGAGCTATTTATTTTCTTTCCTGGTTTTATTTTGTAACTTCACTTTTATGCTGAAAAGGCCTTATATAATCTTTTGAATATTTCTAAAGTGAGCTAATATTTTTCCTTTTTTGCTCGTGTTTTACAGTTGGGCGCATAGTCTTCCAACTTTTTTCAGATGTTTGTCCCAAGACAAGCAAAAACTTTCTCTGTCTGTGCACAGGTGAGTACCAGTTAAGGACATGAGTCTTTTGTCATTGTGTTGTAACATTTACGACGGCTTTAGATCACAGCGCTTTAGTCAGTTCGATTTCAGCACTCCGTTTCTTCTCTGGTCGTTTTAAATTCTGTCTGTTCTTTTTCACACTTCACATTTTTTTCTAATATCTCCTATCTCTGCCTGAAAAATAATAAGACACATAATATTATTCATATTGTTATGTATTCATTTACAAATAAGTACCACAGTACATCCCCCTTCCTGTCGCTTTTCTATCTTGAGGAAAGAAGCCAATGGCTGTCGTGTAAATTGTCCAGTGACAGATGGAGTCACTGCACGGATGGAGGAGTCCTGCCCCGTCTCCTTAGATATGTCACCCCACTGAGCGGAGCGCAATGCACCGTGGTGGTGGCACTCTGCCGAGAGGTGGTCATAAATCTGCAAACAGACTGCAGATCGATCGTCCATCTCATTTTTCACCCCCAAACGGGGAATGTGTCTGTTTCCTGGACTCACCGACGCAACATAACACAGTGATATACACAACTCAGCGGGGCAGTTTCTAGAGTGTGCTTTTAGGAGTAGGGGGTGGGGGTGTGGGTGTCAGCTCACACTATTAGAATCTAAACTCATGGAACAATAGTCAAACCAGTGGGGCAGAAATACTAAAAGATTAGCGACCTAAGCTGCCCATCTGAACAGTCAGCCCCCTGTCCTCTAGAAGGGACCCTTGAACGCATCAAGAATGCCTGAACAAAGGTGTCCAGTTTATTGATATCTTTTCCCCAAATGCCGTGTCATTCCCTTGCTTAGAATTAAAACCCCGTGTGGCGATGTTAACCCCTCGAGGCATCTGGTGCACACAAAAGCTGTTTTTTTTACGTTAGCTCTTCTGTTGAGTGTTTGGTGTTGGATGAGCGCTCATTTAACATGCATGTAATTACAGGTGAAAAGGGAACTGGCAAAATCACAGGGAAAAAGCTGTGCTACAAAGGCTCCACTTTTCACAGAGTTGTAAAGAACTTTATGGTCCAGGGAGGCGACTTCACTGAAGGTACATTAATAATGTCATATAACCTCATTGACATTAAAAGTGAAGTGGTATTATTCATGGCAAGAGACATGTGTCCTGAATGTGGCCCCCACTTCAAATATGTCCTTCACACACACATTTACCACTTTCTTTTTACAATATCATCTTTTCCCTGGACAGCATTGCTTCTGTAACGTTCTGTAATTTGCTTACACACATTACCGTGTTAATCTCTGCAGGAAATGGAAGAGGGGGAGAGTCCATATACGGCGGCTACTTTGAAGGTAAAGTGAATATTTAATGATCCTAAACTCAGTCTCCATTATTGATGTCTGTTAGCTACCTTAGCATGATGAAAATGTTGCATGCACTTGTGGTAATCATTGGTTTCATATGTGTTTTCCTATGTGTGACTCTGTTGACCTTCACTTTTCCATTGTATAGTGCTGTTTTCTATTTATTCACAGTAGTGGGCTTTATGAAATCCGCATGGAGAATAGGTATTACTGAAAGCTACAATCTACCTGCCTAAAATTTTCAACATATTCTTTTATTTATAGAGTGGTCTTTTGCAAAATGAGAAGGTAAGAGATGTACACAGCTCAGTAACACCATGTCAACATTGTCTCCACCACCTTCCTCTTGTCAGTCAAAACAGTGCAAAGGTTTTGCAGCGGCACAGATGCAAATGTGTTCTGAAAATGAAAGGACTTTCATTTCGACTGCTGCCCTGAGCCTCGTGCTGCTCAGGTTACCTGTTAATGTTACATACGTGGTATTCAAAAGTGACATGTAGTCACGTACGCGCTGCGGGCTTTAGACTAAATAAGAAGACTCCTAAACTATGACAGTGGTACGATATTTATCATTTATTATATACAAGGGTTTCGACTCATGGGACGTGTTTTTGTGTTTTCCAAATTCATGACATGATGAGTGAACTTCCAGGGTTTTATTCTTTATACAGTTAATTAACTATTTACCTTCACTCTAGTGTGTGTCGCCACATTCATTTAGTGTGCTTTGAAAATACATATCCAGGAGACTCGAAGCCTGCTCTAAATAGTTCTTTTTTTTTTTTCTTCTTTTTTTTATTGATCCTGGATCCGGGGCCAAACATAATCCAGATGAGAACAAAGGCAACGGATGCATAATCCATCTCATACTAGTTTCAAGTCCAAATCAGTTTGGTACTTAGAAGGACTAGAATTAACAAATATAACTACCGTACTCGTATGAAAGGACAGGTTGGTGAGGCAATGGTTAGATTATTGGTTCAAAATGTTTATTCCTTTTTTTACTTCTTCCCTGAATATTTCCGCTGTCGTGTATCCGAGAGCGCTCCCTGAGACTCCCCTCCCTCTCCCTCTGCTGCCAACAGATGAGAACTTCATTCTCAAACACGACAGAGCCTTCCTGTTGTCGATGGCCAATCGCGGGAAGGACACCAACGGTTCCCAGTTCTTCATGTGAGTGCCACTCTGCAGCCTTTGAATAACTTTACCATTGAACCGACAAGTCACCTGCATTATTCTTTTGCTTCCTGTCCCTTTTTGAGAACTGTAGAGTAGAAGTTGTCATTGAGTGTGAACGTCATCCAGGTCGTCTCTGTGTAGTTTCAAAGTGCAGGGAAACATGGATTCAATCTTTTTTACCTACAAATGTGTTACATTTTTTCTCTTGCCGTTTTTGTGTAAAATTTACAGAAACTCTAGCATCCTGCTCTTCCAAGGTAATGTGTCTCCAAGGCTGTGTTTGTCTCTCTCTCTCTCTCTCTCTCCTGACTGTATTTATCATTCAGTATCTTTATATTTCCAACTATTTTACAGTGTTAATTTTATATATATATATTGACCAATAGTTGCAGATTATTTTACTTTTTTTTATCACTAAAACAGGTTGTCACCATAACTTAAGAAATACGTGAAACCTCTTGACGGGGAGGAAATGTGTACCGACTCTTTTTATTTGATCCAAATACGGTCCTATAATTGTCGACACTGATGTTGAGGGGTTTTATTGCAAAATTGCAAGCGTTTAAAAAAAAAAAAAAAAAAAAAAGTTATTTGCTGTCAAATAGTATTAAACAAATCTCATTCTGACAAACTCTTCACCTTTTTTGAGATTTCTCCTGTGGTACAGTAGCACCTGCACTTTGTGGAAGTTTGCTTGTTTATTCTCATTCTTTTCCTCCTCTTTCTCCCTTTCTCCTGACCGGTGCCACTGATTGGTCATTGGTTGACCTTCCTCTGCTTCTTTATTGGATTACCTGCAAAACAGCACAACCAAGACGGCACCTCACCTCGATGGGTAAAAATGTCACCGTGGCCTTTTTTTTTTTTTTTTTTAAGAGACAAAAACCCGGAATAGTCAGTTTACAGCGACCGGCATCAACTTCTTTTTTTCTTTCTTTTGTGCAGCGTCCACGTCGTCTTTGGTGTCATCATCTCCGGCTTTGAAGTGATAAAGAAGGTTGAAGGGCTGAAGACCGACTCAGCCAGTAGACCCTACGCTGACGTCAGAGTGATGGACTGTGGACAACTTTTCACCAAGTCCGCTAATGATGGTAGATAGAGTACCACGACTGGTTCATATTAGTCTCGCATAACCACAGGGATGTTTCTAAAGAAAGGTCCGGCGTCCCATCTCGTCCTTCTCGTTTAGAGGGGAAAAGAAAACGCTGTGGCTTGTTTCTATTTGTTTTAAGCCTATTGGCTCTAAGCCCCGGTTGCAGCGACTGCGGCCTTGCAAAAAAAGACGGTGTAACATTCGATTTGAAAGGACCAGATTTAGTGGCATCTAGCGGCGAGGTTGCCACCAGCTGAATCCCCCCCGTCCCACCCTCCTCCTCCTCCTCCGTTTCCAAGCGGGTCCGACTGCAACGGCCTTAAGTTAACCTAGACACGACAGGTCCTCGCTACAGCAGAAACATCGCGTTACACAACAGACCTTTACCACAACGGCTTAAATAGACTTAATCCATTGTTTTGCTTTTTCCTCTTGCTTATGCTTCTAGCTGGCTTATATTTTGTGCCCATTTTGTAAGAGGTTGGCATTTCCCCCCCCCCACTGGCATCAGTCACAGGACTTGTAACCTGATCTTCTGTTTAATGAGGATCAGCGAGGTGATCGCTGTGAAGTTCAGTTGGCATCTGCCCATCTGACTCTGCCGGGCCTGCCTTCTTCGCCCCCAACATACCGAGTAGGATCAAACAGAGGTTCAGTTGTTGTAGTGCTGCGCCCCCTGAGAGAGACCTCTGGCATGAACTCGCCTTCATACTCTGGCTATGAAATTATATATTGAATGCGATGACATACACGGCCATTATGTTTCATTCTTCAGTACTTGAAGGCAAAAGGAAAAGGGCTTCCCGTTCGGCTGACTCGTCCCTCCATACCCATGACTCGTCCTCGCCACCTTCCTGCTCAGTGGGCTCTGAAAGCGAATCCGATGAAAGGTACAAACTACGCAAGCCCAAGAGGCATGCAAAGAGTAAACGTTCTAAAAGGAAAAGGAGGGAATCGAAGAAGGACATTGATGTTTGGCCCGCCAATCAAAGGTAGTTGTTATTTCGTGATCACATCTTTAGTCTGATCAGTATATTCAAGTCTGAATAGAAGTGCTGACATTATTCCGGTAGATGGCGTTGATCTTTGATGTAAGGAAATATTGTTTTTGGATGAAGCTCTCCCAGTCCTGTGGAAAGAGAGACGCTGGAGGAGGACGGTGAAGTGGAGCAGGAGCCGAGTGGGAGGAGAGAGAAGCCTGTAGTCCGACCGGAGGAAATCCCACCGGTGCCTGAGAACCGCTTCTTGCTGCGTCGGGGAATGCCGTCCCAGGAAGAAAAAACAGAGATGTCAGTTCATTTAAATACGTTTTGGTTTATTGTTAGTATTTATTGAAGTACACACTTAAGTGATCCACCATGGCTGTTTATTCGGAAACTCTTTATCATTTCAGAGTTGAGAAAGAAGAACAGTCTGTGTCAACTGACCCGAAACCAGCAGTGTCCAAGTCTGGACGCAAGATCAAAGGCAGAGGAACAATGGTATGTCCTTCTCTGTGCTGACTGGCTTGCAATGAAAATGGTATGGTATATGGTATATTTTGTAAAGGTAATTCTCAAAACTAAAAACTAAAAAATTAAATTAAACTAAAATCTGACTGGGCTGTCTTACTTCAGTTTAACATACCCAAATGTATGTGCACAAACTTTCACAATACAGTCTCCTTTTAAAGCAGAGAATATTCAATCACAACCTCAGCAAGCTCCATGAAAGGTTTATTAAATGTATTATTTTAACCAATACATATATATATATATATATATATATATATTTTTTTTTTGTTGCAGCGATATCATACCCCCACAAGGTCTAAATCGCGCTCTGCATCCGTGGAAGAACGTAGGAGCAGTGAAACCCCACCACACTGGAAAGAAGAGATGAAGAGAACCAAAGTGTACCAACCGCCGAGCATTGAGAGGTGGAGCAAAGGAGACAAGTAAGGACTAAATATTGGACTCTGTAGCTTTAAACATCACTTACATCTATATTCTTCTTCATGCCGTATTTTAACTTTACAGATTAAATTACCTTTCCTCAAGCAGATGGGAGGACAGAAGTGACTCTGCGTGGTCCCGGTCTGCACAGCACTCCTCGGACCGAAGCTCTCAGAGGTCCAGCCTGCGCCGCCAACAGATGAAAGAGAAGAAGAAAGCCAAACGCAAGAAGAAGGCCAAAAAACGGAAGCACGACAAGAAGAAGAGCTGCGAGAGCAAACCTGAAGAGCCTATCCTGCCAGTGGGTCGAAGGTCAGTGTCTTCAGAGATGAAGTCCAGAAGATCCCGCTCTCTAACTCGCTCCTCATCAAATCCGAATAATTCGCCAGCCTGGAGACGGCAGTCCCCGCTGTCCTTCAGAGACTCACGGTCCTATTCTAGATCCTACACACCGAGTCGGTCCAGGTCTAAAGGGAGGTCAAGGTCATATTCAAGATCCAGAAGCCTTTCGAGGTCCAGAGGCCGGTCTTTGTCTAGATCCAGATCTCGGTCCTATTCTCGATCCCAATCCAGGTCAAGATCAAGATCCCAGTACAGATCTAGATCTTTGTCTCCACCCAGAAAAAAAAGTTTATCCCGATCGCCGAGAAAGAGGAACGTCAGCAAGCACAAAGCGGACTCCGGGATGTCCGGGAAGCTTCCAGAGAGCAAAGTCCCGGCCGCCCCAAGACCCCCGAGTGTCCCGGCTCCTGAAAGCGCCCCAGTGATCCCAATGAGCGACAGTCCCCCACCCTCACGCTGGAAACCTGATCAAAAGCCCTGGAGACCCTCTTACATCCACACTCAGGAGATTAAAGCTAAAGTAGCTCCCAGCTCCCCTACTGGTCAAACAGCAGCAGGTCTTACAGAAAGAGCTCAGACACCAAAGTGCCTGCCTGGGGACTCTGAAAGGCACAAAGCTGCGGGGCGCTCACTCAGCAGGTCCTCCAGGAGCAGGTCCTACAGCCGCTCATACAGTCGCTCAAGGAGCAGAAGTTACAGTAGATCCAGGTCCAGATCCCCTCGTAATTATAAAAGCAGATCATCGTCCTACAGCAGGTCAAACTCTGAAAACTCCCAGAACACGAGCAGCCACAAGAAGAGTACTCTAGGCAAGGAATGGAAAGCGTATTACAGCTCCCTGAGCAGGATCAAAAATGTAGATAAGTACATCTCGACCCACAGTATTCAAGATGCTCTGCCAGGCTCTGAGAAGACGGCGAGCTGTGAGCCTGGTCCTGATGCCAGTGACTCGAGGAGAGGTGGCTCTTCGGAGAAAATGAGAGGCAGCGGCAGCTCACAGGGCGAAGAAACAAAGCACTGCGGCGCTGTGCTGGTAGAGCGCTTTAATAGCAAGTCCGAATGGGATAGTGACAGCGACAAAGTCAGCCGGAGCAACAGTGCTACCCTGACAAGAAAGCAGAAACAAGCAGGTCGGTCCGATAAAACTGTTGACAAGAAGCTGTCTGCTCTTACTGGATGGAATTCCGAAAGTGATTGTGAAAATATAACTGCCAAGACATTGGCCATATCTGAAAAGGAGGAAGGGGAGGCGAGTTCAGAATCTGAATGTGAGACGTCCAGAAAGTCGTCCGAGGCCCTGATGGCACAGGCTCCAGTAGCTGCTTCTAGTAGGCCGGAGGAAAGCACGGAGAAAGCCCCGCAGCCAGAGAAGCACAAGAGCAAGAAGAAGTCCAAACGTAAGTGTAGACACAAGAGAAGAAGTGTGAACAAAATCTGCTCCCATCACCGAAAGGACAAAGGAAAGAGATCCAAGAGGAAACAGCAGAGGCTCAAAGAGACTTTTCACTGGCAGCCTCCGTTGGAGTTTGGTGAGGAGGAAGAAGAGGATGAATCAAAACGAGAGAAGCCTGGCGGAGCTCTGAAAGAACGGCCCGCTGTGGGCAGCATGGATGAGAGATGCTCCTCTTTAAACAAGATTCGTAATGCAGAAAAAGACAAAACAGAAAAATGTATCAAAAAAAGGCCGAAACACGCTGAACTTCACCTTCAGTCGTCCAAGAGGAACGGGGAGAATTTACCCAGCGTGAAAGAGCAAGAGTCCTTGGATGATATGGACATTTGCACCCCAGATCACGACGCTGAGATTGTCGAGCATCCTGCCGCACAGGACTTGTGTGACCGCGCGTTAACCCTCAGAGCTACCTCGCGGCCCTCCGATGTGCCGAGTCGAGGCGGTGCTTTACGCGAGGAACCGCCGCCTGTTGCCTCCGCAACTTCATCCGCTGGACTTCGATACGAAGCGCCCGCCGGCAGACCTGCTGCAGCCGCGCTCGGCTTCAAATGGAGGCCTCTGAAAGGAACGTCGGCTCTCCGGGACGCAGACGCGCTGCCGCTCGCCGCCCAAAGGGTCCAACTTCAGAAGACCCCCGACGCGCAGAGCGTGAGGATGGAGATCAAGAGCACGAGCCGCGTGCGACCGGGATCTCTGTTCGACGAGGTCCGCAAGACGGCGCGGCTCAACCAGAGGCCCAGGAACCAGGAGAGCTCCAGCGAGGAGCGGTCCGCCTCCGGGGGAAGTACGCGCTCCCCGAAGAAATCCCGCTCGGCCTCCAGCCGCCGGTCCCGCTCCAGAGGCTGGTCCCGCTCCTACAGCAGGTCCAGGAGTCGATCCCGCAGCTCCAGCTACACCTCCAGGTGAGTTTTTTTTTTTCTTTTTTTACAATATAGTTGTGAAAGACTTAATGGATGTGAAGCATGCGGAACCGTAGCTCAGATCTCTGTTGGCTTTGTAACACGTCTCAACCATTTCAGGAGCCGCAGCCGGAGTCGCAGGAGACGTGGAAGAGGGCAGTCGCGCTCTCGTAGCAGAACATACCGGAGCTACGGGAGTCACAGGTACACCCCCCGAAGCACTGATTACGTAATCTGCTGTGGCGCCTCGACGGGTCCCAGTGGGGATGTTGTTGGCTAAAAGCAGTGAAAACAACAAAGGGAGGAAACCCTGCAGCGAGGGAGGTGTCACTGCCATGACCTTTATTTGACAGCTCGGCCTTGTAAATGAGTGGTTCCGCCACAAAATGTTCATCCGTGTATCAATTACTCGACCTCGACTCGAACCTCGAATTCCTGAAAAAAAGTGTTTCATAAACGAAAAAATTGTTCAGAAACTCACACACAAGTCATGCATTTAAATACAAATGAGTATTTATACATTACTCCATTATGTTTTTCCATTTTGTATTTTAAGCATAATTTGGTCTGTTCTTGTTCTTTCTTCTATCAGTCGGGCGTCCAGTAGTCATTCCAGAAGTCGCTCCTATGGCCGCCGTCGGAGATCCAGGTCCGTTTGCTATTTGATGGTCTAACCGATTGAAATAGAAATGTTGAACTGTTCATGTGAGAGTCACTGAGTCCTCTTAATCATGAATACAAACACGTAAAACCAAAGTCATGATGAAATACCAATTAATTTTATCTCAATCCCAATTAAATACAGTGGCGAGTCCGTTTTCATGAACTGAAAGATGAAGTGGTTCGTAATGGAGGTTGTATAATTGCATGGAAACAATTGATAGATATTGAGCAGAATGCTTTTGTGTGGAGGCATTAGAGATAAAACAAGTAGGAGAATATTCATTGATTCTATTGGCTGTTTTGCTGATTAATTCTTTCCACTGAATTGAATATTTGCTGGGGTTTTTTTGTCTTGTGTGCCAGTAAACACATTATTCCTCAGGTCTGAAAAAAATCAGAATATGAAAGCGCTTTAGAAATTGTGTTTTCTTTTACAGACCAAAGGAAAATTTGCATCAAGAAAATAATCCGCAGATGATTAAAATAGTTGTTGGTTGCAGCCCATGAAGACGCCAGTACTTGGGTTTCTCTTTCTCTAAACCAAAAGCAGATCCGTGTGTGAATGGAGACCCTCTTCCTGCGACGCCCCCTAAAATAATCTCTCTGCCTGTCGATGCAGGTCGGACTCCTACGACAGCTACTCCAGCCGGAGCGCGAGCAGGAGACGACGGCGCAGGCACAGCGACAGCTACAGGAGCTCCGACCGCCGAACCCGGTAAACCCCCCCTCCCCCCTCGCCATAGAGCGTGTGCATTTAATGCGTGCGTGAAGCGTGACGTGCTCCGTGGCTTGTCCCTCTCGCTCGCAGGTCGTACCGCTCCTCCAGCAGCAGCTCCTCCGGCCGCAGTCGAAGCAGTCGGTACAGTTGAGCCTCGGGCAGGTTGTTGCCGTCGAAGCTGCCGAGAGGGATCGAACGCGCCGCCACTCAGCGGCTGTCACGAGAAAAAAGTGCCCGTTCAATTCTCTACTGTACGACCGTCTCAAGGAATGTTATGGAACGTGAATAAAGAAACCACTTTATGAGCAGATCTTCTTACAAGTGAGAACTACAACCTAGAAGTAAAAACAATTTATATGGGAAAAATAAAGATATATGTATTTTATATTGCATATTTGTATATTATTTTGCTAGTTACGTTTTTTTCTACACTGAAATGTACAAGTATACTGTAAGTGGTCAGTCCTCCCAGTTCTGACGTATACGCTGAGTTCATGCCTTAAATTCAGTCTTTTATTGCTGAAAAAGGCCGTTGTTCAATAGAGGAAATTATTTTGTTCTAAATGTTTTATTGGATCGTGAATGTTAAAAGCTGTACTCAAAGTTTAATACGTTTATTCAAACAGTTACATGAATGTTTACACGTAATAAATACCACAACTTAAGTCTATGTTGTTGTTCTTTTATCTTCATATCCACTGGATAAGTGTTGAGATGTTGGTTTCTGGAGAATATTTACCTCCGTAATGCTTCTTGCTTTCAAGCTGCAGCTTCTCTGTAAGTGAGATCGATACAGTGTTGCACTGTAAAGTCTTAATCCCTGCTGATTTGAATTGCATGAATTATATCATGTAAAATGCTACTAATGTACTTACCAAATGTTTTTTGTATAATGGGAACAAATTCGGTGGATTTTATTACATGTCAAACATTTAGACAGACTATTAGAGATGTCCAACCTTTGAAAGACAAATGGATCAAAAGAGGACGAGCACTTTTACTGAGGAAATCATTCCAGTTTCTTTCATCACGGATGTCTCTATTCTGTCCACTCTTCTTTTTTCACAGGCCTCAAAAAGCCTTTTTTAAAATCTCTTTCTATAGATGAAGTCTGGTTTATGTTGCCTTGAAGGCGGTCCCTTCATGTGAATAAATGTCCTTGTAAGTGTGTCCTTTTATGGATGTGTGTGAATCTTAATGTACATATATATTATTTATAACGTTTAGTGAAAGCAAACAAACGACTAATTACGATTCATGGCCGCACCGAGGTCATAAACCTAGAAGGACAGTTGAAGCACCGACTGGACTGATGTTCCCTTTACAAAGTAACAGCTTTTTTTTTTTTACATAGCTCCCAATATGTATATTTCATGCTATTTGGGCTTATACCTAATGTTAAAGTTTTATAGATGTTCAATGACATGAGGAAAAATCCTCGCTGTCGCTTTGCACAGAAAATCTTCTTGTCAATTTCTCCTGGTCTGAAAAGTTTAACCTTCCATCTTGTAAAATACCTAACAGGATTTATTTAAACTTCCCCCTGCACTAGATTAAAAAGCTTTCCATGCAAAATGAGTTGGGCAGCTTCCCTGTACCCACACAGACTGCACTACATGAAGTGATGAATGGGACTTGCTCCAGGTTGCAATCTATTTTTCCCCACCTTGTTATGACTGTATTGACTTCTACTCTATGCAGTCTACTCAGAAGTGAGCAATGGGCTTGAGGGATCCTTCAGGAGAGGGGACGGGGCTGAATTACTAACTGGGCCCTCATAAATCACAGTGAGATGAAGAGCCTACTATCTAATAATGGACTGATGTGCATTCATTTCAAGCACCTTTGTATATTTCATGGTAAACTCAATGTCTTTGAATAAGAATAAGCCATTAGAATCAATCTCAGTGTCATGAAAAATGTGATGGTTATTTTTTTTTTGCATTTTCTTTAACTTTAATTAATAATCTGTAATAATAGTTAGGGGGTGTTTTCATTTTACACCACTTTAATACTTTTTAAAGAGGCCTTGGCGTGACCCAACTAAATATAAATACAAATAAATATCCTTATTACTATTAGCACGAGTGCCTGTCATGCAGAGGGGGGGGGGCTTCATTTAAATGTAGTTTTAAACATTTTATTTTGACGCTTAATACTTTGCACTTATGATGCAACATAGTACGCGTCATTTTTAGGCCCAAGGCACCTCAGGGAGTTCGACCTCCGCATCTCTGCCCGCGTGACGTCACGCTTTTTGCTCGGGCGCACAGCGGGAAGCGCACCCGTTTTTTTTTTTGCGCCATATGGTTTGCATGTCCTTCTGACAACCCCCCCCCCCCCCCAAAAAAAAACCCATCCCAGTAGCCTCCAATACTAAGAAATACGCCCGTCTCGCAACTGCGCGTTAAACGGTACCGTGTCCCTTTAAAACCGTCTGACAAAAAGCCCATATGATCCCCGAGCTCCCATCACCAATTTCTTCTGCAAAAGCAGCCTCTGCATTTTTTTTTGTCTGTCTGAATGCTACACCAAGGACGGTGGAGGGGGGGGAGAAAAAAGAGAGAAGAAGACGAAAAAAAAACCCTGAAGAAATGTGACAATTCAACGGTCGTTTTCATGGCGAGGCGGCGACTGGTGCGAAGGGAGTTATTCTGGGACTCCTTCGAGCCTCGAAACGCTGGATCAAAATGGTAGGCTACGGAGGAGAGCGCTGCATTTTTTTTTGTTTATTTTTTATTTATTCCCCCCGCTGTCCCTCTTTGATCTCTTGCACGTTTGAGGCACTTAGCAGGCCGATCAAACTTAGCGCGCGTGTGGCTCCGTCGGCGGGTTCGAACCCGCGGCTGTCACACGCGCGCCGCGTCATTTCTGCGCCTTCTGCCCCTGAAGTTCGGAACTTGCCGACGCGGCACAAGTTGGAAATTGAAGCTGGCCGAAAGAACGCAATGGCTACAATAGCTACATTGACGCGGAGAGGGAGTTAAATTTTTTTCATATCAAGGCGCTCCTGCAAAGAAAACCCCCCCCATCAGGTCGTGACTGATGCAAATGCAGACGTGCAGACTCCTTTAACGGCTTGTGCAGGACAAGTTTTCCGGGGACATGCATGCATCCTCTGTGTGGTCTTCTTGTCTTCATAACTTCACTCCCCTGCAGGTGACACTCGGCCAGAGGCGTCTGCATAACCACAATCATTGTTTTGTCATCACAGTGCTGTGTTTATTGGGTCACGTTGGCATTTCCAGCCCGACTGCGTGATTTTTTTCCCCCCTTCACGTCGTGTGGAGATGAATGTGCACAGACAGGCTGGAGTTCTGGGAATGGAGGCAGATAGCCGGGCAGACAGTCCGCTCTGTCTCCAGGGTCATATTAGGATGCCTCATTAGGAAAGCATGTGGAGCCCGATGCAGTGGTGGAGTAATCCCAGCGCGCGTCCACATCTGGAGGCTTGGGTTAATATCTGGGTCAGGTCAGTGGGGTGAGCCCTGGTGCTCGCTGGGTGGCTTCTGGTGGGAGAGAGAGAGAGAGAGAGAGTTTTTGGTATGTTTTTCTTCCCTGTTTGATATATTTCTCGTCAGCTCATGAGAGTAAACAAGAGTGCAGAGTGGGCTCGGAGACGCTGTGTCTTTACATAAACAGGACCCGGATCATTCCTGCAATTGCTTTGTTGACATCGAAAATGGATTAGTCTCCTGCTAATTTTGTTTCTATCAATCCCTTAATAATCCAGACATTTCCTTTATTCATGGCTGGATTACTGAACAGGCTTATTGTAACAACCTTTATTATTACTGGGGTCAGCTGACCCTGGGACCTGAGCGTCTATATGAAGTGACTTTATTCATTTCTTGTTGGAAAGTCAATAAAACAACTACAAGGATACAGGGAATCTCCACAAAAAAAGGGGACAAAACAGACGCAAAAGTACAGAGAGCTGCAGAGTAACAAAAAAATGATGCAAAACGACTACAAGGAGACACAAAACAAGTACGTTTAGACTCAATATGACGATGAACTGGATGACAGATGTTTTTTGGTACTTGTTTTAAGTGTAGCCGGGTCCTGGTTTATTGTCTCATAACCCCTCTATTCGCTCATTTGTTTTTCTCCTAATTTGCTGGCTTTGCGAACATGTAGATGTGCATTCCGTGCACGTTTTCGATGTTTACACTGCACGCTTTGGACCGTCCCGCTGTGTTTTGGCGGCCGCGGCCCCCACCGTGGCTCCCTCTCTATCCTCACAGGGTGCTGTGAGTTTTACGTAACCGCCTATTCAGGGCATTCCTGCCCACCCTTGACTTTGAGGCGTCACTGTCTCTGGGTGCTGAGCGAGGGAGACTGTCTTTAGTACTTGTGACAAGTGCGGCCATTCCTGAGTCCTGGCAGCAAACTTCAGCAGACATCCACGCCCCCCCCCTCCTACCCCTCCCCCCTCTGGTAAAGAGGGCCGCTCTCCTTGGGAACTCGCCCTGCGCCGTGGCTGCTGCTAATTTATGCCCCTGAGATTAAGACACGGTGGACACGGCTGCGGATGGCAAGGTCAAACTCGCTGGCCTTACGCAATATCCCGTTTGTTCTTGTTTTGTTGAAATGGCAGTTTTCCCAAGTAATTATAGGGGTTGAACTTCCTCTGTGTGTCTTTTCATCTAGGAAGCCGGCGAACTAATTTAACCCCCCGGTGGCACTTTTTTTAAAATAACTTTTTTTTTGTGCAGCTTGATATGAGGATTTCGATTAGCCTTTCATTGTCGGCCGTTTAAAGATATTGGGTTGAATTTTCAGTTTAAAGTGATCTGATAGCTTTTAGCTGAATTCAGGCCAGAGAGAGACTTAGGAGGAGCTTTGGAGCAGATGGGAATGAGTTTTCATGCTGTTTTCGGAGTAGTGCCGAGCAGGAAGGAGGGGGGGGCGCTTCATCCGACCGTCATCATAAATATTTGTACACACAACTTTCTTCTTTGCAGGACTTACCCATGTGTTTTGCTGTTTAAGTGAAGTTCCAGCGATGTACAAATGTTGTTCGGGGAAAATGTGGAGTTTGAAAAGTGTCTCCACTAAATATAAAGCTTCAGCCAGCAGTCGGTTAGCTTAGCATAAAATCAGGGGAAATAGCTAGCCTGCAGTTTGAAGGTCAAGAAATATACATACCAACATCTCTAAAGCGCAATTGTTTTGCTGTTTTAAACCAGTTGTGTGGCAGACAAATTCTCCAGGAACTTACTGCTTCCAACTAAGAAACAATAACACGGTAAAACTGTGTATTTACTTGCTGTTTTTTGCTACGGTTGGGCAAGCTAGCCGTTAACCCCCTGTTTCAGGTCTTTGTGCTAAGCTAATAAAGCTGCGAGTCCATATTGAATGTGCCGTTGTCATGGCGTTGTCATCGATCGTCTTGTCCGACTCTCTAAAAGAAAACAACCCCCGAAAATGTCAAACTATTCCTTTAAGCTCGTATCTAGCGTTTCTCTGTCCTCCATTGATTGGTTGCAGCTATAGAAAGCCGATGCTCCTCCTCTACCTCGTTTCCCTCTCTGTCCTCCCTGACCTTCTCAACAAACATTTCATCTGCGCACACACACACACACACACACACACACACACACAGAGTATTGCCACAGTATTTCCTGTGATAACGGGCTCTTTAGAGTCCTGTCTCTCTCTCTGTGTGCGTCATGCTATAAAAGGAGTAATGAGGATATCACGGTTTCATCCCGTGTGATTGCCTCCGGGTTCGTCTGCACCTGCTCGCTGCTACACATCAGAGTGGTCTTTTGTCTCTTCAAAGGAGCATCTTTCCCCCTCTGTGTCGTATACACTCGGATGAATCTGAAATTCTTTTTTTCCCCCGTCTTGATATTTTACAAATAGTCGCATCTTGTTTGTGCGGCCCTGCACACTCCGTTGTGCCACAGGTATTTGGCGTCACATCTCTGTGTTTGCTGATGAATGCTCGCACAGCGGGCCAGTGTGTGTGTGTGTGTGTGTGTGTGTTAACGGCACGCCGCCGTGCACATGCGTGTTGGGGGTTGCTGGCTTGGGATCAGTGTGTTATGAGTCCAGCGGAGGCGTGTGTGTGTGTGTGTGTGTGTGTGTGTGTGTGTGTGTGTGTGTGTGTGTGTGTGTGTGTGTGTGTGTGTGTGTGTGTGTGTGTGTGTGTGTGTGATGCCAGCACCACGGGCCGCTCTCTTGGCCGGGCTGTCACTCGCCAGTTCATCCCCCTCGAGCTAATAGCCCATCACACTCGCCAATGTATTTAGCTATTCTGTGATGAATCTTCTATCGTCACACCGGCAGCAATCACCACCACCCTTCACCACCCTCCACCACCACCACACACCCTCAACCAGGCACCTCCGTTGATAATCCGACTGCTCGTCAGAGTCATCGGGGCCTCGCACGGCCTCCGATCGACACGCGCGGTCGCCGGCTTTAACCGAGCTGATGGGAAACGCACGCGCGTCCAGCGCGTCTCAAAGCGGAGGCCGGAAGGGAAGAAAAAGCGCTTTGCGAATCACGCAGCCGAGGCATTTCCTGCCCACGCCGTCGAATTGTAATGTACCGCGCGTGGCCGAGATGCCGCTCGCGCTGGAGCTGGAATTCTTATTTTTGTTTGTGTATCCCAATTTCATGCTCGGGTAAACGCGTATCAGTTGTAGATTGACTCGTCACCTGTGGTCGTATTAACATATAGATGGAAACGTATTTAAACGTGAACGTGGAAGCTGGTGGAGAGCCCCCCGGTCGGGGTGAGTCCACGCTGCTGGATTAGGCTGCAGTGTGGACGGGAGATTGGATGTCTGGGATTAGAACAGCACTAATGACAATAATATTGTCTCTATTAATTGCAGCCGGCAGTGAATGCTGTAATTAAGAAACTTAAATGTTTTAATGGGCTGATGGGAATACAATAATTAGCTTAAGTGGAGGAAAGAGAGAAGTGAAAAACCATTTTAACGTTATTTAGGATTTGCATTTCTCGCTGCACGTCTTACCTGAAATGCCAGAAAAGCTTAAATGATTTGAGGCATCTCACTTTCATCCATGTTGTGACGGCAAATCATTTACAACCAGTCAGATCATTTTCTCTCATCCTGTGAATTATCATCATAACGTATTCCACAGCCTGTTTGAGTATTTATCTCATAGCGTTGTTTTAAATAAACACTCACACCCGAGATGTTACAGTGCACCAAACATCAGACGGACCGCGTCAGCGTCCAGCTGGGGAACCATAGTGGAGTGTTTAGCAGCTGAAGCACCAGATACTGACGTAATGGCTTCGTTTAGTGTAGCAGAATGTAATCACGCGTAAGCTTTAAATTCATATTTCCCAACGTCTGTCATAACAGAGTTTGGTTAATCTACGAGGGTTTATTTTCCACCAATCTGCATCGCATGCACCACCAATTTCTTGAATTCTACAATCCTGTTGCCGCCAACTCCCCGCCTCACCCCGATGAGTATTAAACTACGCTTTAATGTGACAGTATGCGCAGTGTTTGACCTCAGCACTGTGCACACTTCTGCCCCCCCCCAACATTGTTTTTTATTGATTTTCCCTTTTAACATAGACGTGTACCGATCACCAGAGGGCTTGTTAAAAGTGAGACCTCGTCTCTTGTGATATTACCAGTCCGGCTCGCCTCGTAGCAACGCGTTTGATGGCAGGATCATGTGACCAGAGGCTCAT